GGGCTGGAAGGGTGGTCCTCACTTTCTGCAGCAGTCCCAGGTGCCAAACTCGATCAAACGCCTGTTTGATGTCTAAAAAGACGGCAGAGCAGTACATCTTTTCTTCAAAGGCTCCAAGGATATGGTGCACAACTCTGTGAACCTGTTCCGGTGTTCCATGCTGTCTCCTGAAGCCAAACTGATGGTTTGGAATGGCCTCCTGGCGTCCCAGATGTGTCAGTACTCGTTCCAGAAATATTCTTTCGAATATTTTGGAGAGTACTGGCAACAGGCTAATTGGTCTGTACGACTCAATTTCTCCCACGGGTTTGCCAGGCTTAGGAATCATCACAATCACGGCGCGCTTCCAGCAGGCTGGAAAGTGCCGGATGCGGAGCATGGCGTTGTACACCATAGTTATGTAGTCTATGGTGGAGTCAGGCAGTGCTCTAAGGACTCTGCCGTTTATTAGATCATATCCAGGGGATTTTTTTGCCTTCACTCTTCTGATGTGTTCAAGAACCTCTTCTTTTGTACATCCAGTTATCTGGTCTTCAGCTGGGAGGGGCGAGAGAACGATGTCTTCTGTTGCTTCGATTTCTGAGGCCTCTGCGGTAATCACCGGCGTGAATTGGTCTTGAAGGTGGTTTGCAAAAGCCTCAGCTTGAGCTTCGTCTCCAATGTGCCAGGAACCAGAAATGCTCCGAATGGGATGACGTCGTATTGGCTGCCGTTTGAGCTTTCTTGTAAATTTCCATAATTGAAACTCTGCGTCAGTGGGCGATTCAGCTCGTACCAGCGCATCGCTGATACACCTCTTTTGAAGCAGGGCGAGAGCAGCTTTAAGATGCCTCGTGGCTTCGTTGTACATGGATTTGGCATCAGGCGTGCGTAATCTTAACCAGCGTCTCCTGGCCCATCTTTTGTGTATTAGTAGGTGTTGGGCCTCCAAGGTGAGGGGGATGTTGTACGGAGACTGTTGTCTTGTTTGGCAAGATGGTGGGGCGGCTTGGTGCGCAGCTTTGACTATTTCTTCCTGCAGTTTGTTTGCTGCGTAGTCCACGTCTTCAGGAGTGTTAAGTTCCATTTCTATGTGCAAAGAGTAATGGAGCTCGCGCCTAAAGACTCCTAAATCTGATCCTGCTGGCAGTAGTTGTTTCCTAATGGGCAAGGGCTGTGGCTGCGCGTGGATTGTGACTATTAGTGGCAGGTGGTCAGAGGATAGGTCCAAGGATTCTTCAATGGTCAATTGCCGGTCACAGATGCCTTTGTAGACAGCGAAGTCGATTGCCGAGGGCCTGTGTCCATTAATTGGGTAACGGGTGGGGGCTCCAGTCGCCAATATGCTGAATTGTAAGTTTTGAATCGCCTCAAATATGACTTCTCCGCGACGATTCGCACTATTGCTTCCCCAAAATGGGTGCCATCCATTCCAGTCGCCGCCGATGAGGGTCTTATTCAACCTTTGGCCTAGAACCTGTTCCATGTGATGATCACACAGACCAGTGTTTGGCGGAAGATAAATTGACGCAACTTCGATCGCTCCAATAGACGTAGGCAGGGTGATGGCTGAGACCTGCATTGTTGCGTTGCAAATTGGCAGTAAAGGTGTATGCGGTATTGTTGCTCGTATGAGGATTGAGGATCCACCAAAGCAGTTTGCTCCTTCACCATGAGCCTGATAGTGTTCGTATCCGAAAATTTGTGTAGTGGGGCACTCATGAGTTTCTGTTATTAACATTATATCTATGTTTTCTTGTGAGAGAAACGCAGCCAGTTCCTGAGTCTTGTTTCTCAGGCCATTGGCGTTCCAGATACCCACACGTAAAGCCATTATTTGTAGGCAAGCTTGGTTATGATGGCCATTAAACTGTTTAGCATGGTTGCTTGTTGGGATTGTACTTCTCGCATCGCTTTGAGCTCGGCATTAATTGCGTCAAACTGACGTTGTTGTTGCTGAAGCATTTCAGTGAACAAAGTGTCACTTGTGGTATTCTTATTTGACGGTCCACCTCTAGCGGCCTGTGCGTAAGAAACACCACTAATAGGCGTTGCAAAGCTCGTGGCTTGGGTAATGCTCCGGGGCCTTGTAATTTCGGAAGCAGTACTCGGACCCGTAGACGGTGTTTGTGTGGGACTCCTTTTTTGTGCTGGGGATTGCAATTTGCGCAACCGCTTGTATACTTGGCAGCCCTTATAGTTGGCTGGGTGCTGTAACTCACAGTGCACACAAGTTGGTGCCTGGTCCTTTTCGCGGGTGCAGTCTTTGGATGCGTGTTTCCCGGCGCAACGCACACATCTGGGAGCTTTGTGGCAGTAGCGTTGTGTGTGTCCAAATTCTTGACAGCGATGGCATTGTGTCAGGTCGTTGTATCTTCTTGGCAGTTCCACTGTGCAGCGTTGCCTGCAGACAACTCGAATGTCCAAAATTTCTTTGTTGTTGGGGGCCTGAGCCACGTCAACAAAAAATATATTTAGCGGTGTTTTGTCCATACGGCTCAGTGGGTTGTGCACATTTGTAATTGTGTGGCCTTTGGTTTCCAATTCCTTTTTAATTAGTGTTGTATCAGTGCTGGAGTGAAGCCCTTTGAACACGACTCTATATGGTTTGTCCTCCTTAAGCTGGTAGCAGTGGAACTCCAATTCCAGCTTAGTAAAGTGGTCTATAACTCTGCGATAGTCCTCACTGCATTGGGTTAATACACCTATGTTATTCTTCTTTGGCTTAATTACGTATGATTTAGCATCAATTACTTTATCTATTATCTGTTGAAGTAGGGCCACAGACTTGATGTTTGGACACCATATGGGGGGCGGACGAGGTTTCGGAGTAGTTTGCTGGTCGGTCAATACTGGGGCTTCTGGAGCTACAGGTGATTCGCTGTAGTCTTCATCTTCTTCTACGAGCAGTGAAAATCGATTTTCTGATATTAATGCTGCATTGCTGGTGCTTGGTTCGTCGAAGATGAGCCTTTTCTTGATGGTTTTTGGTGAATTTGGCTGTTTACGTTTCGTGTTTTTGTTGTTAGTGATGCCTTGCACGGAGGCGATATCTATTTTTGAGTTTATTGGCATGATGGAGGCTTGCCTATTTGCCATCACAACGTTAAGCTGGGCTTGCATTTCTGCATTTACCTTTACAGCTGTAGCGAGGTTATTGACATTAGATGTCATCGCGGATTGTGCTTTTGAGTGCAGGCGCACTCGCGCCAAGCGACGAAATTTCGTAAATTGCAATTAAAGCAATTGAGTTACGCGGAAGCAAGCGATAAGAAAACGCTGCGTGTGCGGTTTTTGTTGCTGTTGCGTTGAAGAATGCACCGCAAAGTTCTATTTTTAGAACTCTGCAGCAGTAGAGCTTAAGCGAAGGCTGTTCGAATTCACGTCTTTACAGGTCGAACGACTGATCGCGATTGAGTAAAATTTGATATTAAATTATGACAAATGATATATAGAGCAGAGATTGTGACAGGCCAATACAAGACACTTTTGCGATTCCATAATGATGTGAGTTATTCTTGAAATATAAATTGTTATACAAGAACTGTTATATAACAATCAATTGCAATCCACATTGTCCTAGCAGGACATATGTATGAGACATTTGAGATGGACGCGTGACAGGCAGCAAATGTACTGAGAATCTATTTCAAATGAATTAGCCCCGCTAATTGTGCACATAATCTGTACAATTATATATATATATATATATATTTATATATATATATATATAAATTTGTATAGCTATGGGCTAGCGAGTGTAAGAGATTTTTTTGATTTAGCCCGAGGCGGCAGCTGTGAAAACTTAAAGCTGTCTCTGATTACACTTGAGCCAAGTGCCACGCCTCCAGTTGTTGGCGTGCGCATCTTGTCTTTGCTTCTAATTAGCCCACTGCTCCCTGTTGTTGCTCTTAAGCGCCAACCATTCTTCTTCTTCCTTCTTCTCTTTTTTTTTTTTGTTTCCGCCTAGAACGCTCTCGCTCGCTCGCTCCCTGCCCTCCCATCTCTGGCTGGCGCCCTCAGCTAGCTCTCTCTCTCTCTCTCTCTCTTATTTCCTTGTAATCAAATCCGCGCTGCTTTCCACTTTGTGTTGTGCATACTTTGAAGCGCTACCAGATGAATGAAAAGTGTGAAAAATATTTGTGAAAATGCTTAAGTTGACTGGTATTTTGAGCGTCCAACAGCAACGACAACGGCAACGGCAACGGCAACGACAATGGCAACAACAACGTTGTATAAAAAAAGGGTTCAAAAGGGCCAAAAGCAGCATGCACAGGAAACTGTGGCTAACGATGCTTGCTGTCGCAAAGTCGAGCCGAGCAAAGCTTGAGGTGTGGCGTGGCTGCTGTGTCATTTCGAGTAGGTTGTCAGGCTTATCAACTTATCAACACACACACATACAGACGACCAGAGACAGACACCTAACAAACTTTTGCTTTTAAGTTGGCAACTGACAAATTCGACACACAGCAGCAGCAGCAGCAACAACAAACATAAAAATCAGTGGGAAATGCTTGTTAAACTGCATCCGGTTGAGGGCTAATTGCACCATTGGCTGGCCAAAAATATATATTTCCATAAAAAAATATACAAATTCTTTGTAGAAGAGATATGTCACAGTAAATACCCTGTAATACGCTACATGTGCATATATTTATATATATGTTCCACACTAGATTTGATATACCAACTGACAACATTCTTGCCTTTGAGCTCACTCAACTTAATCTAATATCAGTGACTGAGCTATCTATAAGACTAGACAAATCAAAAAGGAGTTAAAGTTCACTTGCCAATCAAAGTCTCAATCGAGAGTGTTATACCCTGTAATTATGAGTATTTTATCTGTATCAAAAGTGTTCCCTTCAATTTGAAAACATTTGACAACTCTGGGAGATGGACTCAGCTGCAAATATTTTGTTGGCTGGTTGCGAGTACCACCTGCATCAGTTGTTGCGTCTTATTCACAGGGTATATGCACACAGCTCTAAACTGGAAAACCTCTCTTTTGGCCATTTCAGAATGCAGCGCCACTGAGTACCGATGCCGCAATGGAAAATGCATCGACAACAGCAAAGTTTGCAACTACGTCGTGGACTGTCCCGACGGCGAAGACGAGGGCGATGACTGCCGTAAGTAGTTGACCGAAAGCAGATCCATTATAACCTAAAGTCCTATATACACAACTGCAAAGACATATATACACACACACATAGACACACACGTATACACACATATATGTATATTTAGTGGTAGACGTAAGCCCAAAATGATTTTGGATACGTCTATGCGTTGACTAAGTTTGACTAAGTTTCTAGCTGTAAGACATGTTCGATAATAGATAATCGATAATCGATAACTGCTACATGTAGGCCGATATCCGACCTGCCGGCCGTAGGCATAAGTCCGCTTACGGTAACTGTCCCATAAGCCAATTTGATTAACCACAAACTTATTAACCACTAACCACTAACCGAATTATTTTTACTTTCTGCTTTCTCTCTCTCTCTGTGTCTCTTGCTCGCTCGCTCTTGACCGCCTGACCTGCTCGCCGCAAATGGGGGCAACAACTAACACTCAAATAACAATACAAATCCAAAATAATAATAATAATCATTACCGTTATTCGATCACCGTTTACTAACGCTAACCAGCCGCCGCCTGCAGCGGCATGGAGTATCAATGTCGCGATGGCACCCGCTGCATCAGCGTCAGCCAGCAATGCGATGGCCACGCCGATTGCAGCGATGGCGACGATGAGGAGCAATGCGATGGAAGTGAGTATCGATCATCCAATCAATCACTCAAGCAATCAATCAATCGATCAATCAATCATCAATTTGCTGATCGCACTGAACTCAATAGTTCTGCATTCACTTAGCTGGCATATAATCTCCTCTATCTCTCTCTCTTGGTCAGTCAGTCATGTTTGATTGACATGTTTTTGTACTTGTACTTTCGATTGAGCCGTTTAAGACAGAGTCTTCTATACTGCTCTCGCTCTTCCTCCCCTAACTCTCAATTCTGCCTAACTCGATCAAATTTAATTGAGTGATTAATCGAGAAGAAATGCTTACACGAGACTCAATTGCGTTATCAATCATGAGCTTAGGCATATTACTCTGCTCAACTATTCTACAAAAGTACAGTTTCTGCACAATGCCAAACAAACATGCGGCCAAGAATTGCTAAGTGCTGTTGAAATTCAGTGCCCAGATCAGCAGACATAACAAACACACTTCATCAATCAGTCAATCACTCAATCATATGCGTTGCGCTCATCATCTAACGTTTTTGCTCTGACTCTCCACCGTTCTCTGCCTCTCCCTCTCCCTCTCTCCCTCTCTACCTCTTTTTCTCTCTCTCAATTTGAACTTATTTTGTGCCATGCTGCTCAGTTGTGCCAAGGCTACGCTACACCTGCCCCAAGGGCAAGTTCACCTGTCTCGATCTCAGCTGCATTTCGATCGTGCATCGTTGCGATGGACGCGCCGATTGTCCGCACGATCGCTCCGACGAGGAGGGCTGCCGTATGTCTAACAACGCACGCTCTCCCTCTCCAACTCTCTCTTTAGTAAAATATATTATACTTTCTCTCTCTCTCTCTCTCTAACTCTTTTGTTAACTGCTCATGCAGCCTGTCTGTACGACAAATGGCAATGCGATGACGGCACTTGCATTGCCAAGGAGCTGCTCTGCAATGGCAACATCGATTGCCCCGAGGATATATCAGACGAGCGCTATTGCGATGGTGAGTGCGTGTGTGTAACTCTGTCTGTCTGTCAATCAGTCTGTCTGGTTGCCTGCCTACCTGCCTGCCTGTCTGTCTGTATGAATGAGTATTGCTCCGTTTGGTGGCTCGAGAGTGTGTGCACACTCGCAGGTAAGTCGGTTCCACGTTGAGTTTTACGGCCGCGCTATTGTCTCTTCTGTTCCTTCTGTCGTTGCACAACACTGTTTCGCACTTATCGATTCCTGAGTCCTGACAGCTGTCAACTGTCAGCAGTCGTATTGGTCAGTAGCTGACTGCCTACTGACTTGTTGGTAACTCTCGCCACATTCGAAACGCATAACTAATCCGCACATAGCCGACTATCGGTCATCGATAATACATTATTAATCACATACACACACACCCAAATACTCAGGTGGCTACGATGCCGATCAGTGTCTGTTCAATGAGTTCCGCTGCAGGAACGGTGAGTGCATACCGATGCGTCAGGTGTGCGATAATATCTACGATTGTAACGATTATACAGACGAGCAAGACTGCGGTAAGTCCTTCGTCTTGCATTGTTATCGATAATTATTGTCTCTGTCTCTCTGTCTATCTCTCTCTCTCTGTGTTATGGATATAAGTTTATATGTTTAAATGCTTACTGCGGGTCTCTGTTCTCAACTTTTTGGTAACTGTTTTGGTAACTACTTGGTGACTGATCTACTTTACAGCGACTCTGTAAAACTCTCTCCCTTTTCTTCCTCTCCCCCACTCTCTCTCTGTCTCTCGCTCCCACACTCTCTGCGTGTTTACCGCTTCTTCGATAATGAAGTTATCGATTGCTTTTGCGTTTCTGTGTTTAGCTCTTATGCGTGTCAACTGCCCAAATTTATGATTTTTTTCTTAACAAATTTACATTTTATTTCTCTTTTTTCCAATTCGCCTTGAAAACAATTCGAAACATAAATGATATAAAAACAAATATGTGAACGAACTTGGTTGTGGTTATCGAATGTCCAAAAACTAATCGATTAATTGCACGTTTCAACAACTACAACCCAACTCCCCGCAACTGGAACAACAAATTGAAATCGACAACAACAACAACATCAATTGGCTCAATCGCAAAATTTGCATGCTTCAAACTTAACAAAAACCAAAAACAAAACCAAAAAATTTTTAAAAACTGAATATCGATGTCGAATCCATTCGTCTAATGACCCCATCCTATGTCTATATATATTATATCTTTATATATATATATATATCGATATATTTGCCGGGTTTTGCATGCGGTTTACCTTTACCACTGTCCAAAATCCTTTCCTTACCCTTTCAAAACCGATAACGATCGATTGCGATAAATGCACGCGGCGACTCACAGACCCGAACGAAATCGAAAACAATAGAGATGCCGATACGGTCGATCGTGATGGTATAATACGAAATTATGGAGACCATCACCGCCGGCCGCCGCCGGCAATTGGCCGCGATAACGATAACGATAACAACATCTATGAGCACGGCCTGCACGAGCTTGATCTCAATGAATACGAGCTCTACAACCCGCAGGACCATTACGCAAAAGCAACTCCCCAACACCCGTGTGACGCCAATCACTTCAAATGCCAGAACAACGTTTGCATTCCGATCCATCTGCGCTGCGATGGGTACCACCACTGCAACGATAGGAGTGACGAGGCTGATTGCGACCGGTATAGGCCGCCGACGACCACCAGGCGACCCGTGACGTTCGCACCCACGAGTTACTTCTGGACAACAGCCGCGCCCGGCTCCCTGGAACGTCAGACAACGAATGCGCCTCCATTCGATAGAGTAACAGCGCCGGCCACGCGTCCCACCACTAACCCAATACCAATAACAACGAGTGGAGTTGCATCGAGTAGGTTCCCTAATTGTACCAGCGAGTATTAACGAGTAGCGGGTTTGTTTGCATTCTGTGTGGCCTTTAAGGTAGCGAGAAGCGTGGCGAGTAACTCGTTTCGGATTACCAAACACTCTCGCCACTCTACTGCTGATGGGCTTAACACTAACGAATCGCGAGTAGCGAGTGGCGAGTGGCGACTGCCGAGTAACGAGTTATAAGCTATGGCTGCAAGTCACTAACTACGAGTAACGTCTCATAGGTTACAAGGAACTAGTAACGAGTAGCCGGTTTCAAGTAACGAGCTACGAGTTATACGTTATCAGTTACAAATTACGATTTACGAGCGTGATGAGTAACGAGTAACGAGTTGCGAGTCTTAGGTTACAAGTAACGAGTAACTAGTTATGAATAATACGTTTTAAGTAATGAGCAGCGAGTAACGAGTTACAAGTAACGAGTTACGATTAACAACTTATGAGTAATGAGTTACGAGTCTCAAGTAACGAATTACAAGTAACTGTAACTGTCACGTAACGAATTAGCTATGTTACAGTCGTTATTTACTAGATAAACCTTTCAATTATCACGTAACGCGTAACGAGTAACGTAACCAGTTGCGTCTCTGCGCTTAAATGTGCTTGGGTTCTGGCTTAGTACTTTGGGTTAGACGACTTTGACAACAAAGTGCATGCCATGTTTGTGACTCTAGCATTGAACACTGAAACTTACTTAAGCTAAGCACACACACACAGACACACACACACACACACATACACACACACAGAGCCAATCAACTAGTTATAAAGTAAAGCGCTTAAATTAGCATTTAATGTTACGTTATTTTAAAATATATTATCCTCATATCATTTTAATTATAATTGCCAAACACATTTCCGTTTCCCTCTATATATATATACATATCTCTCTCTTTCTTTCATGCACTTATTGTAAATCTCTATCTCTCTTTTTTATGTTATTTTTATACGTGCTCGCTCGTATTATTATAAATATGCCTTGTTGCCTGCCAAACACCAATCCGAATCCCGACATTCACACAAAAACAAAAACCAAACATCATTTATAGACAACTCATCATCATCATCATCGTCATCATCGTCATCATCATCATCATGGGGCAATTGCCTCGAAAACATTGAATTCGCGTGTCACAATCACGATTGCATTTCGATTGAAAGCGTCTGCGATGGCACTCCCGACTGCCAAGAGCACGAGGATGAGGACTATACGCTGTGCAATTGCAGCGCTGACAAGGTGAGTTCTCACACACACACGCATCCACCCAACCACACACACACACACACACACAAAGACTCTCACCAACAACATGTGTATTCCCAGTACAAATGTGTGAGGGGCGGCGGTTGCATACCCAAGACTCAAGTCTGCGATGGCAAATCTCAGTGCCGCGATGGTAGCGATGAGAGCGCATGCCGTAAGTAAAATTAAAAAGCAAACCTCACGAATTATTGCCTACCCAAATCATGCATATCCCCCATACACACACACCCACACTCACACACTCACACGCCCACACACTCTGGCGCTCGCAGCTCGCCTGCAGTATGAACTAATTATCCAACTAACAACATATCTAGTCTAGAGCTCAGAGATGGGCGCGTGTCGTGACACGATGCAGCCAAAGACGAAAATTAATTACTAACCATTATCTGCCAGTAATATCCTAATATAATACATCTACTATTTATTTATTTATTTATTTATTTATATTTATTTTTGCGAATTATTTCTAATTATTAATATATTTAAAAATTAATTTTATTTACATATTTTATTTTGGTATTTTGCTATGTATTTTTAGCATGATTGGCTTTGGTATTTAGAAAAGTTTAAAAGTGTATTTATAAAGCTTTTACATAGTACTAGAATCACAGCCTAAGCTCGAATCCACAAATCCCCTTCCCTAGCTTCCAAAAATCCCACAAAAGAAACGAAAGTTTCATCATTTTATATGCTGCTAACTTTACTCTTTTCTCTTCTTCTTTTTTTACGCTCTACGCTTTTATCTGATATGTAATATATATATATATATATATATATAATGTATATAAATATATATATATTTGTATATATACTGTGCGATCATCGTCTCCCTTTCGCTCTTCCACTATCTCTGTCTCGCTCTCTGTGAACTATGCTCAAATCGTATACAACAACACCAACAACAACACGTCATACCGTCATACCGCCATACCGTCATACCATCATACAAAATACATCATCAGACTTTCATGCCAAATTTAATCTGAGCCGCCCGATCGTCGAGTGCCAGAGCTTTCAATATCAATGCGGGGACGGAAGTTGCATTTCTGGCTATAAGCGCTGCAATGGCATCACCGACTGCCCCGATAGCGCCGATGAGTACAACTGTCTGATCAATTACGATACGAACTATGGTACTGAAAACGAAATTAAAACTAACCTCAACGATATGTACACATATATAACTAATTAGCTGAGAGCTTGATCGGTTCGCAGCAAATACTGAACAACTACCGAGCGAGTTATCATACAAATATCTGACGCTACATTTCTCTTATCTTATACATACACACACACACACATACATACATATAGACAGTGACTCAGACACAGACAATGATAATGATCCATTGAATGAGTGCGATCTGTACTATTTTGAATGTGACTTTGGCCAGTGCATACCCTTAGAGAAGAAGTGCGACGGCTATGCGGACTGTCAAGATGAAACGGATGAGCTCGATTGTCCGCCCTTCACAGGTAAACAAACACACATACACACTCACTCACCCACTCACCCACTCACCCACTTACACACACACTCAAGTGTTGCCTGTAGCGTGGCTTTACTGTATTTGCTTAAGAACTGCCCAACTAGCTACGCACATGCTGTACACAGTTTGTACACACACACTCACACTCTCTTTCTGTCACTCTGTCACACTTACACACGCACACACACACACATAATCATGATCATAAACATTTTGCAGAGCATTGTCTAGAGCACGAATTCGAGTGCGATGATTATTGCATACCACGCGATCAGCTCTGCGACGGTATAGTCAACTGCAACGATGGCAACGACGAACGCAACTGTACTTCATGTCGCAATGAGGCCTACCTGTAAGACACCTTCAGCTAGCCAAAGGCTCAACTCATCTTAGCCACCGTCGACACAAATTTGATCAACTATTCTATATATTTCTATGTACCCACAAACACACTCATACACACACACATACTTATACACACGATCATCGTCATCACCATCATCATCATCGTCGATTATCGATCAACTTATCGCTCCATCGGCAGCTGCAACACTGGCGATTGCATTGCAGCCAAACTGCATTGCAATGGCATCGCGGAGTGTTCCGATGCCAGCGATGAGCTCAACTGTGGTAAGCACACATAACATAGACAAAAAGAAAAAGAAAAAGAAAAAGAAAAAAGAAAATCCCCCATATACGACCCTCCACCTGATAATCCGCAACCCTAAAATGTACTCATGTACCGTATCAGACCCTCGCACTGCAAGCGTAGCTGCATCGTAGTCGTAGCAATTATGTAGTTTGAATCTTTATTTCTTTTATTTTCTCGATATTTTTATTCGATATTTTTCTGTAGTTAGTTGTATCTAATTGGTAATATCGTAGCTCAGATAAAACAGCGTTTGCTTGTTATCTTCCCATATATTTTCATTATTTTGCATTACATTTTGAAGGTAGCAGCTGTGCGATAAATCAAATCGCCTGCAACGGCGCCTGCCTCGATTGGTCGCTGCGCTGCGATGGTATACTCGATTGCGACAATGGCATCGATGAGCTCAATTGTCCGGGTAACAATTACATATTCAATTTTATACTTTCTGTAGACTTTTCCTCTCAAAAATATCTCTAATCTTATCATTTCTGCCACTCGATAGTTATCGATCACTATTTAAGCTGCGATAGCTTTAAATTTTTATATTCTTAAACAGCTTTCGTTGCGCTCTGTTTGCTATGCTCGCGCTACTTTTTTAGCATCATTCTGTTTTGTTATCGATAGCTATCGATAACAGTTGCAGCAGCTATGATTTTGCATTGCATTTGCCTTGTCATATAATAATATTTTTTGTACTTTCCTATCGATAACTATCGTTGATTATCGATAATTTTTAAAAATAATATTGCTTGTAATCTATAATTGTATTACAGTAATTATGTTTTATAGATTTTAATGCCACAAAAAAGCTTAAAAGTTAGCTTCGATAAATATCGATCTGTATCGATAACTCTTTTAGAGTTCAACCACAGTTGCTTTGCGCGCATCTTACATACAACGTCATCTATCTCTCTATTGCTATCTCTCTCTCCCTGTCCTTCTCTCTCTCGCTTTCTCTCTATCTTTCACTGTCACTATATCTCTCTTTCTCTCTCTCTCTCTCTGTGTCCCTCTCTCTTTTCTTTCTTTTTCTTCTTCTGTGCTCTTTTGCTATCTCGTTAAGCCTGTTGCTCTCACAAGTCACAAATATTTCGCATAATTTTTGTAATGCTCATGCGTTTTTTTTTTATTTTCCACGTTTGTTATTTTTGTCATTTTGTGTTAACAAACGCCACACACAACAAACACACACATACACACACACACTTACATACACAGCTGGCAAGAAAAACTTTAGAAACACAACAACAGTTAGGAAATGCCAACCAAATCAATGGCAGTGCTCAAACTCTGAATGCATTAACGCCGATTTGTTGTGTGACAAACATGCCGATTGCACGGACGAATCGGATGAATTACCGAGTAGATGCTTGGGACAGGGTAACGATACATACGATTCCATTAAAAAAAAACCACCCCCGCCAACCCATCAGCCCACTCAGTCCCCAATACCAAATCGAAATCCAAAAACCAAAGAGAAAAAACTGATCCAAACCAAAAACCCAATTCCAATTAGTTTTAAATCTATATAGCTATAAGTAAGGCTCTTTAATGTCTATCGATAAAAACAGCGATAGATATATGTATGTATATCGGAACAGGTTTGTATTGTCTGTATATATGTAATACTACTAAGTGCGTTTGTGTTTGTCAAGTGAAAGCTGTGCTTCATTAATCTCGACTGCTGAACTGTTCAAACCAGCGTTGCTCATCTCGATTCTCTTCTCTCTTCCTTGTTATGCTACTGAAAACACGCTAACACGTAAATGCTATCGTTACCGTTCTCGTTATCGTTATCGTGATCGTCATCGTGATAACGATATCGACACACGCACACACATCACAAATAAATTGCATGCATCGCCATCGTCATCGCCATCGCCATCGCATCATAGCCACCGATCGACTGACCGCTGGGGACTGCCGACGGGATCAATTCTTTTGCGATGAATCATGCTTCGATCGTTCAATATTGTGCGACGGGAATATCGATTGTATTGACCGCAGCGATGAGCGCGACTGCCATTTGCATACCACGCGTCATCCATTGTATCCACCACTGCCCTGCCCACAGCACACGTGCCCCAGTGGCAGGTGCTACACGGAAAGCGAACGCTGCGATGGCCGTCGCCATTGCGAAGATAGCTCCGATGAGGCCAACTGTAAGTATTTCATATTCAATCTTGAACTCGATATCATCGCCATCAAACATAAACACAGCTCGTTGCTCAACACTGTCTTTAACGTAAGCGCGCATGTCTAACGCACTCACCACCAGAAACTGAGAGGCCCAGAAACCCAAGAGAGTTACGAACATGTACATGTTTATCGATAGGCATCAGCTTAAGCGCAGGTTCAACTCACACTATCAAGTCTGATTAGTCTGATTAGTCTGATTGAAAACAGTGAATGCATTTCCAATAACCATATTTGGGCAGCTCTGCAAGTTATCGATAATTTCTAGATAATGGAGTATAGCTTTCAATCGGTCAACGTCTTGGACCTTGTCGGCAAGCCCATTCACTATGGCAAAACTCAAGACCCCAAGTCTTACAAAAATGTAACCGTACGTAAGCGAGGCTACTCCATATATAACGGCATGGGCTAAACTCTAAAAAAGAGCTCGAAAGAAGCGGAATCAATATAATTTGCCTATTGGTTCAGTTTGTCAGTCCATACTAGAGATTGGGAATGATGACTACAGATAAATCAAAATAGTTTGTCAATCAGCAGATATATATATATATAACGATAACGATAAAAAGTTCATTCTTCTTTAAATAACAACTTCTCATAAATTCAAATATATTAAGAAATTAGTCAAGGAAGTCCTTGCGGGGGGTACCTTCTTAAAGCACGAGATATTGATAACTGTTGGAATGACACTTGTTAAATTTTTGGACTTGCAACTTGTATGGCACAGAGGCACCTAGTTTGAGTTAGTTCTTGATTGAATCGTACACGTCTAGTTAGCTATCTGCTTTATGTTTTAAGTTGCTGATCAATGTTGTTCACTCTCTTTCTCACTCACTCACTCACTCTCTCTCTCTGTCTCTGTCTCACTTGCTTACATTCACACACACACACCTTATAAGTACAATGCACTGATATATCTATGTATATATGTCTGTCCTCTCTGTCTCTCTCTCTCACTCTCTGTATCTCTCTCTCTCTATTTCTCTATATATATACATGTACTTTAACTATCTCTGACTTCTTTCTTTTTTGTCGCTTTTAACAAATTCTTTTGCGAAATTGCACCAAAATTAAATGTAAAAAACAACGAAATATTAAATAAATATTAAACAGGTACTCAATGCAAGGATAACGAGTTTTTCTGTTACGATCGACAGTTTTGCATAAATGCAACGCAGCACTGCGATGGGTACTACGACTGCAAAGACTTTTCCGATGAACAGAACTGTATTGGTTAATAATCAAATTTCTGCAATTCTTTTAGCCCTTATATTAGTTGTAGTTGTACTTTGATATTAATTTTACCTAAGCCAATTGCATGCTAGCTAAGAGAAGCAATTCTAGTCCAAATTTAAGAAACAACAATTATTGAATATTTACGATTACAACACGAGCTACACATGTGTATGCACTCTTTCGTTTCTCTCGATATATATTGTTTAGATCTATATAATATGATTTGTCTAGCTTTCGATTCCGTACAGCTGTAGCAAGAGTTCAGTGGAACTGGTTCAGTTAATAATCTCTGCATTTGTTCGCTTCCACGCAGGCTGCGCTGCCGATCAGTTCCGTTGCCGTGACGGCAACTGTGTGTCCCAGGATGATGTCTGCAACGGCTTCAGACAGTGCATGGATGGCTCCGACGAGGAGAACTGCGATATAATGCAATGCCAGCATAATCAGTTCCGCTGCCGCAACGGACAGTGCGTGAGCCTGACGGCTCGTTGCAATGGCAAGACCGATTGTCAGGATAGCTCCGATGAGAGCAATTGTGGTAAGTAGCCAGTGGCGTGGGAGTCCTTAACTGGGGCTTAGGCTAAGGCAACCAGCTTGACACATCATCAACAACATCATGATCACCATCATCATCGTCATTACCATCATAACCATCATCATTGTCATTGATTGATTGATCACTGATCGTGATGAGGTCATCAACATTTAGCTAGCTACAGACCTGCATCGCCAACAGCCACCACCACTACCACCACAGCCACAACAACGACAACCACAACGGTGGTGCCAACTACAACAGCAATGCACCCAGTGGGGCCATTGCGCATTATTTGCCCACCAACCGCGTTCCGGTGTGAGAATGGTCCTTGCATAGCGCTCACAGCGCGCTGCAATGGTGTTATCGATTGTCCGTTCGATGCCAGCGATGAGCTGGACTGTGAGCCCATCACTAATGAAATCGATAGTAAGTGCTCAACGACCCGTGTACTTTCCCGATCAACAACGGTGTCAGCACAAAGAACCCCAGCAACCACCACCACCACCACCTCCACAACCACCACAACCACCACCACCAACAACAACAACCACAACTATTACCTTAGCCTAACCAATCAATCAAAGTACTAAACGGTTCAGGAAACAGTTCGGGTCTATTATATCCATATTCTCTCTATTCTACATTTAATACTTTATATATTCTATGAGTAAAACTAATATCAAGTTGGTCTACAATAGAACGTAATTAATGCGCTAAGTGTACTTCTTTTCTTTTTGTTTGCACAGCCTCCGATCCGTCTCCACCTGGACGCAACCAGTTGAACCTGAAGACCTATCCCGATAGCCAGATCATCAAAGAAAGTGAGTTGAGAGAGCAATGTGCTCTCCCCCCTTATGCTGAATGTGTTAAAGGCAAAAAGACAAAATTAATAGAATGCCTTGCAAAAGATCGATTATTCATGTAAATCGATAAGCGACTCTCTTCAATGGAAAATATCGATAGTCGTGTTTTCAGTTATATTTGTATTATAAATACTAACAAAACAATCTATTATCGATCATCGATATCGATAGCTCAATCTTTATTATCGATAGCTTTGTCTGTTATCGATCTGCGTTTTTGCAGGCTCATAGTGATATTTGTGCGTACTCATTCAATAATATCGAATAAGTCGATAAGTATAATCGATAAATGTATATCGACATCTCACAACTGAAGATCCTTCTTTTGCAAGACTCCAAAGCCGCTTCGAACACATCTGAAGAACGTTTTTCTGTATTTCTTTGTTTTTGTTTACAATGGCTATAACGGTTTGTTTGATTCTACATAATGCTTTACCATTACTTTTAATGCTTAACCCCACCAAAATGACATAACCCATAAATTAAATACCTACAGGATATATTAGGGAGGGTAAGTTGGCCTAACTACACACTCTATATAAATAGTAGTCACTCGTCTCGTACAGCTGCACCACCACTGCACCACAGCTATTGGCAACAGGTCCGGCGTTGTACATTCTGTCGAAATTATTATTATTATTGATGTTGCAGTGAGCACCCACACCTGCTAGATACCTTAGAACAATCACAACTGTAACTCCCCCTCACACTATCACAACGCAATTGTATTATAGTCCTACTTAGATCCAATAATTTGCTCGCTATGCTACCGACTATTAGATAAACTGCTATATAAATAGATGTTCCTTTGTGGGCCTTTTTCTAATGATTACTGTGGCATGCAGGTCGCGAGGTCATCTTCCGCTGCCGTGACGAGGGTCCAGCCCGTGCCAAGGTCAGATGGACACGTCCCGGCGGTCGCGCACTGCCCGTCGGCTTTACCGACAAGGGCGGACGTCTAGAAATACCCAACATACGCGTAAGTTGCCTTTGCTCTTACAATGACCACACCCGACTTTAATCCATTCATCTCATCTACAGGTGGAGGATTCTGGCACCTATGTGTGCGAAGCTGTCGGCTACCCGAGCTACATTCAGGGCCAACAAGTGACCGTCCATCTGACAGTCGAACGCTGTAAGTACTGCATTGGGTGGCTCTTTATTTTGCCTTCGAAATGTGGTTGGGTTTTTGGGTTGTTCAACACTCTACTCTCCATTTGCTACGAATTTGCTTGGACGCAGCTTGGGGCGAGCAGAAATACGAGGAGCCGAAATCGAATCGCATCAAATATGGCACCGTTCCGCATATTGATCTCGAGTTCTTTGGTCTAGGTAAATGTGGAAGTTTTCGTAAGCCCAACTGGAGCTGGACTTGGTCTTTGATAGGAAATACTAATATTCCGAAAAGGATTTCAATAAAAGATGCTTCATTTGCACAATTAGATAGAAAATGAAACGTTTTTTCAGAAAATATATCGAAAGCAGTTTTACTTCATTCAGAAATGAAATCTAGACCAACGGCAGCTCCATGAACCATGACCATGAGTCTTAGCTAATTCATATTATATTTTCTTACTTCCCTATTGCCAACCTGGCCCTAATGCTGGTAAGAGTAATCAGGTGAAAATATGAATGAGTTTCTTAAGCTATAGCTGCACGTGCGTTCTTCTATTCTACAGTCAATATTGACGAACACGAACGACCACCGACAGCCTGTACCGAATACCAGGCAACCTGTATGAACAGTGAATGCATTGACAAGTCGGAGATTTGCGACGGCGTGCCAAATTGCTCGGATGGATCGGATGAGCACAGATGCAGCCATGGACGCAGATGCCAGCCGAACCAGTTCTTGTGCAGAAACACCAAGTGCGTGGAGCGCACATGGCGCTGCGATGGCGAAGACGACTGTGGCGACAATTCCGATGAGGAGTCCTGCGATCCCGAGCCAAGTGGAGCTCCCTGTCGCTACGACGAATTCCAATGTTCCACCGGTCATTGTGTACCCAAGAGCTTCCACTGCGACGGTATTAACGATTGCCGTGACGGCAGCGATGAGTTCGGTTGCAGTAAGTAATCAGAAATCATGAAAATAACGACTCTGATGACATATGATGCATTACAGCGGAGCCTAAGCCACTGCGGAAACCACCACCAATGCAGTCCTTGCTGGAGGGACAGTCCCTAAACTTGACTTGCACGGGAACGGGTGTGCCCATCCCAACGATTATTTGGCGTCTCAATTGGGGTCATGTGCCCGACCAGTGCAAGTTCACAAGCTCGAACGGTCGCGGCGATCTCTATTGCCCCAACATGCAGTACAAGGACAGCGGCGCCTACTCCTGCGAGATTATGAACGCGCGCGGCACTATCTTCGTAACGCCCGATACCATAGTGAAGGTGACACCCGATCGCAATCAGTTCTGTGAGGCTGGTTTCTTCAATATGCTGGCACGCTCCACGGATGAATGTATCAAGTGCTTCTGTTTCGGCGTGGCTAACTCCTGCGAGAGCGCCAATCTCTTCACCTATGCCATACAACCACCAATTCTGTCTCACCGCGTGGTCACCGTTGACCTGACACCCTATCAGCAGATCGTCATCAATGAGGGCAGCGGACATTCTTTGCTCACGCTCCATCATGGTGTACAGTTCCGTGCCTCCGATGTGCAGTACAATAGCCGCGAGACACCCTACTTGGCCCTGCCCAGCGACTACATGGGCAATCAGCTGAAGTCCTACGGTGGCGAGCTTAGGTACGAGGTCAACTATATGGGCAATGGACGTCCTGTTTCTGGGCCCGATGCGATTATCACCGGCAATGGTTTCATACTCACCAATCGTGTCCGTACCCAGCCCAATCAGTTGAACAAGGTGAAGATTAGCTTCCTGCCTGGCAACTGGCAAAAGCCCGACGGACGCAAGGCCACGCGTGAGGAGATCATGATGATATTGGCCAATGTGGACAACATTTTGATTCGTCTCGGCTACATTGATACGGTGGCGCGTGAAGTGGAGCTAACTAACATTGCAATGGACTCGGCGGGCTCCTCGGATCAGGGTCTGGGCAGTGCCTCGCTGGTTGAGAAATGTAATTGTCCACCTGGCTATATTGGTGACTCTTGTGAAAGCTGTGCACCTGGATTTGTGCGCCAGCCCGGCGGTCCCTGGCTGGGTCGCTGTGTGCCCTTCGTGCCCGAGCTCTGCCCCGCCGGCACCTTCGGTGATCCGCGCCGTGGTGTGCCCTGCAGCGATTGCCCATGCCCACACACTGGCAGCAATAACTTTGCCAATGGCTGCAAGTTGAGTCCCGACAACGATGTCATCTGCAACTGTCACGAGGGCTACGAGGGTAGACGTTGCGAAAGCTGTGCCGCCGGCTATCAGGGTAATCCATTGATACCGGGCGGTGCCTGCCACAAGACACCCGAATCGACTTGCAACGTGGAGGGTACCTATAACCAGTACCCCGATGGCAGCTGCCATTGCAAGGCCCTGGTCACCGGAGATCGTTGCGACACCTGTGCACAAAATAGCTTCCATTTGAATTCCTTCACCTATTCCGGCTGCATTGAGTGCTTCTGCAGCGGCCTGCAGGCGGAGTGCACCAGCACCTCGTGGTTCCGCGAGCAGGTTAGCAGCAGCTTTGGTCACTCCCATGTGCCACATGGCTTCCAGCTTGTGCGCGATTACACGGTTGTCACACCTCAGTCGGTGCCCTTCGATACGCTTTCCAATGAGATTAGCTTCAAGTCAGGCTCGGAATATAGCGCCGATACCCTATACTGGAGCCTACCCGCCCCCTTCCTGGGCAACAAGCTGACTGCCTATGGCGGACGTCTCAACTATACACTTAGCTACAGCCCACTGCCCGGTGGCCAGATGTCGCGCAATAGTGCGCCCGATGTGGTCATCAAGAGCGGCGAGGATCTAACCCTCATTCATTTCCGCAAAGCGGCCGTCAGTCCCAGCACCTCGAACTCATATGCTGTGCCGATCATTGAGAGCGCCTGGCAGCGGACCGATGGCGAAGGAGCCAATCGCGAGCATCTGCTGATGGCGCTCAGTAAGATCGATGCCATCTACATCAAGGCCACCTACACAACCGGCACCATGGAGGGATCCCTGAAGCAGGTCGTCATGGACATTGCCAATTCCAATAGCTATGGCACTCAGCGCGCCCTTGAAGTGGAGGAATGTCGTTGCCCTCAGGGCTACATTGGACTATCCTGCGAGCGTTGCGCACCCGGCTATAAGCGCAATCTCGAAGGAGGTCTCTACCTGGGCCTGTGCGAGCCATGCGAGTGCAATGGTCATTCGACACAATGCGATGCCGAATCTGGCGAATGCCTGGTAAGTGCTAAAAGCCCTACAAAACTAAAGATGCCCAGATGCATGCCTCAAAAGCCTTAGGCCTTTTCCCCTAACAATAGCCAGCAAAAGCTGAAGTAAAGCAATTATTTTAGAGACCTATTATATTGTCAGTTATACGGACTGTTACAGATTAGTGTATCCAGCTCATAAATCAAATCTCCCAATGTTAATATTTACTCTATAAAATATGATTAGATAACAGCAATGTCTCTAGAGCGCAAGTCTTTTCAGTGTTTCCAGCTGTTGGTTTTATGTTTTGATAACTTTTTTAGCCATCATCTTAAAAGGCCCTAGAAAATGGCATTTGGCGCTTAGCAGACCTATAAAATATACATATTGTTGATCAGGCCGACGAGCTGAGTTGATCTAAGCAGCGTCGTCTGTCCGTCTGTGCGAGTTTAAGCTCATTCCATTTCCTTATAATCGATCCATGACTTGACTTAGGTTTTTAGTCTGGAGATCGTATCATTGGAGACTGTATTCTGCAATGAATACAAAGAATTTGTATATTTTGGATTTTAGATATCTCCCTCTTATCAGCTCTTGGCAGGGTACAGGGTATCTCCAAGTCAAGCAGTCTCGACTGGAGCACTCTTACTAGTTTTGTCTTGTCCCACTTCTAATAAGCACTTACCCTCACACAGAGCTGCTCTGACAATACCGAGGGCGAGAACTGTGATCGCTGTGCCGCCGGCTATGTGGGTGATGCCACTCGTGGCACCCCATATGACTGTCAGCCGGATAACAATGGACCACAACCGCCGCAGCCGCCGCAACCATCGCCAGACGATCAGCGCGAATGCCAATGGTGCAACAGAGACGGCACGGAGGACTGCCGCAATGGTGTCTGCTACTGCAGGCGCAATGTGGTCGGAGCTCGCTGTGACCAGTGCCGTCCGAACACCTTCGGTCTGTCCCCCACCAATCCGGACGGATGCAAAGACTGCTTCTGCTCTGGCCATTCGTCTCAATGCCGTTCTGCCGTGGCTTACCGCCAGCTAATCGCCATCGACTTCATTAGCAACAAGGCACTGATCACGGACGAATATGGACAGCAAATGGAAATGGATGATACCAACCTCAAAGTGGATATACCCAACAACATGTACACCTACAGCTATCCCTCATACTCGATCAAATACTGGAGTCTGCGCGGCAATGTTCAGGGCAATCAACTGCACGCCTATGGCGGCCACTTGAAGTACACCTTGGACGCCGAATCCTTTGGTGACTTTCTGCCCGGCAACGATGTGGTGCTCATTGGCAATGGCGTACGCTTGGTCTGGTCTCGTCCGCCCAAGGACGCCCAACTCAACGAGTACAGTGTACGCCTCAGCGAGGAGGAGCAATGGCTGCGCTTGGATAGTGGCAGCGCCGTTCCCGCTTCACGGCACGACATCATGAGCGTCCTGGTCAACATCGAGCATCTGCTCATACGTGCCACACCCAAAATCCCGACGAAGCGCACCTCCATTAGCGATGTGACCTGGGAATTGTCACTGGACACAAACCAGCCCGGCGCCGAGCTGGTAACGGACATTGAGCTCTGCCAGTGCCCGGCCGGCTACACGGGCAACTCCTGTGAGAATTGCGCTCTGCTCAACTACCGCGAGGAGAACGGCCAGTGCCGCAGCTGTCCATGCCAAGAGGAGAACACCCAGAGCTGCTATCTGGGCGGCAGTGGCTATGTGGAGTGCAAGTGCAAGCCGAATTTCAAGGGCGATCGTTGCCAGGACTTCGGTAAGTAGCTGTGCTGGGAGCACGGCAACAAGCATCGATAATAATGCGAACAAATAAATGAAAGCAAGCAGAGGAACCCATTAAACTGGATCGATCTATAGTTTGGTCTATAATGGGCACCAGGCTTAGATATAAACCGGTTGTGCCCCCTCCCACCCAAGTCAATCGATCGCCAACGTTTAAGTTTTTCAGCTTGAACTGACCCAAGTCATGGTCCGGCTCTTATAAGTATTTCGCTTTACCCCGCTCTCTCTGACTCTCTCTCTCTCTCTCTCTTTCTACCTCTCGCCCTCTCAAACACACACACACACACACGATACGCGCACTCAACCCTCTGAGCCACATAGACATATATATATTTATATATATCTTATTTTAAGCCTAGCTGTTCTCTCATATTTTTTACAATTTTCTACATATCTTTCAACTTTATTTTTTACTCACCACACATCCGTTCACATTACAAAAAAAATAAAAAAAAAAAACAAAAAAAAATTATAAAATCAAAAACAATCTACGATCATCATTATCCGAGAAATCATCAAAACAAACATCCAATCCATCCACATTCTAGACACATCTCGCATGATTGAAGAACCGCCCAAGTTATGCGATATATACAGGGGATACTGTTGCAACGGCTTTCGGTTCGATATTGAGCCCAACGAGACAATATCGTATAATGACACTCTGCTGATTTATAAGGGCAACAGAGTTATAGGAAATATAACCAAACTGCGCAACGGCTGCCATCAGCGAGGTTCGCCAATCATCAATCAATCAATCGAATCAATCAAGCAATCGATCAATTAAACAAACAAACACACACACACATCAAAACAAACAAACAACAACAACTAAAGCTCTTTGTCTCTTTTTAATTGCTATCTCTCTCACTCACTCTGTTTCTCTCTCTCTCTCTCTTTACTATCACTCTGTCTCTGTTTATCCCATATGAGCTGTTTGTAAAATTACCCTGTAGTTAAATCAAATCACACACACACACACACACACACACACACACACACACACACACACACACACACACACACACACACACACACACACACACACACACACACACACACACACACACACACACACACACACACACACACACACACACACACACACACACACACACACACACACACACACACACACACACACACACACACACACACACACACACACACACACACACACACGCACACACACATACACACGCACACACACACACACACACACACACACACACACACACACACACACACACACACACGCACACACACACACACACAAACACACACACACACACACACACACACACACACACACATACACTTCCTTCTGTTGGACATTCGTTTTCTAACATTTCCTCTCCGTGCGCCCCCAATGTGATCCCCCAAATGATCATGTAGATCATATCAATTGTAACTCAAAAGAGAGTTTCTAACACTGCGAGAAAAATGTAGTTCATTGAAATCCTTGCCATATCAGAAAATATAAAAACTTTTTTTTTCAAATTTGAATTTTATATTTTTAATTTTTTAAATTCCGCTAAGAAAGAAAGCTGTACACGTATTTTTTTAATTGCTATTTTTATTTGCAATCTGTTTTATACTAGACAATAAAGAAATTTGTTAACAATAATATTACATAACCGTATGGCTTGGGCTCCAATGAGATCAATCCATATATTTACATATTTATCTACGTCTGTGTGGCAGGTCTATGAAAAAAAATAGTAAGCAAATAAATAGGGTTGCCACCCAGCTTAGCACTAACTTAGATCTCTCTATTCCTTTCTCTCTCTTTCTTCCTCTCTGTTTTTACTTTTTATATACTTTATAGGCGCGATCGGACCCTCCGTCTCTCTTTCTCTCACTCTATCTCATACTATCTTTTTCCCGCTCTCTCTCTCTCTCCTTCATTCAATGTCTCTATATGTGCTTACCATTGCAGAGCCGTATGGCTCTTGATACCTCTAGACTTAAGCCATACTCCCATGTTGTTGTTTAATTTGTTTTCGATTTGTTTTCTAGCACCTTCTTAAAAATGTAATTTGTTTGTGTGTAAAGAAAATCTGTGTGTCTCATCGCTATGCTACGTATTCATAGTTGGATAACTTTGTGTATAAATATTTACTATAGTAGGAAATCCAAGACTAAAGCTAAATTCGGTCTACCGAAGCTTAAATACACTTGCAGCAGAATATATATAAAATATCATTTAAGACTCGTAACTTATAATCAGCTTTAGTCCGATTTGAAGTTCCAGCTACAACAAACTGAGAAACTCTTTAAATAAGTTCATATTTTCTGAATGACTGACTCTGACTTATGAATATATCATTTCGATTGATATATCAAAGGACTATAGAAGACAAACAGAAATCCCCTCTGCAAGAGTATAAAGTAAATATTTGAATACTTTCTAGAACTACTTTCTCTAGAACTCGCTGTCACTGTCGTTGTCAAGTAGTCGGTGATAAATTTAGCAACTCTTAACTAACCCCAACTCTTTAGAGGATCTCCCATTCACACAATTGCACTCTGAGCTGAACACGGACTGCTCAACGTATCTCATACTATATAGATACTCTATATGTATAAATAAACCAATATAAATGTATGTCAACTCCTATTGTAGTCCTAGGGTCTGGCTACGGCTGCCATTTGGTATATACCTATGTAGTAGTTGGTGCCTAAAAACTATGGAAGCTACCCAACCACAAAAACGAAACCAAACCAAACCCGACCCGAGTCCCAAACCCCCATCGCCCATAGACCTTACCCTTCTTACTTCCAAACGATTTATGTTTTGGCGTTAATAAACCGCAACTGTGTCACTAAACCAAATCGTAAAGAGTTGAATTTCTAACAGTTAGTGATATGAGTGGAGGCCGAGTCGAATTAATCGTTTCAATCAATTCTACATTAATCCATCAGACTACGGAATACCAGTGTCAACGACCACCGAACAGCCCGACAATATACGCACCCAAATAATTGTATCGATATCGAAGCCACAGATCACGATAATGCCCGTCGGTGGTTCGATATCGTTGCACTGCAACGGTCGCATGAAATGGAATAACGTAAGTGATTGATCGTGAATGAAATGTGAATTGCCGAGCAACATCATTCGGATGACATTCCCATTCCCCTTTTAGAATCCGGTCCTCGTCAGCTGGTACAAGCAGAACAGCCAATTGCCCAACACAGCTGAGATTTCAGGCGGAGTTCTGAATCTGTACAACATGCAGCTGATCGATTCTGGTGTCTACATCTGCCGTGCCGTCAACAACCAGACCTCACGCGCCTACGAGGACATGGTCTCCCTAACCATAACAAGTAAGACTCTTGCACTTTGCTCTTTTCTCAACTCTGGCAAAAAGCTAATCTTAAAAATCAAATTAATTTGACATGCGGCATATTAAGGATATGCCAAAGAAATGTTGGCACGCTACGGTATCTATTGAGGACTCGGTTGATTTCTTTTTCTTAATAATTTCTCACTCTCACTCTCACTCTCTCGTTCTCCCTTTGACAGCTCATGCACAACGTTCACCTGCTCAGATTGTCAATCTGCCGCAAACGGTGACCTTCGATGAATACGTTGTCAATGAGATCAACTGCGAGGTGGAAGGCAATCCAACACCCATCGTCACCTGGACACGCATCGATGGCCAGGCGGACGGACATACGCGAACGGATGGCTCCCGCTTGATATTCGAATCGCCACGCAAATCAGACGAAGGACGCTATCGCTGCCAAGCCCAAAACGACCTGAACATCGATGAGAAGTACGTGCAGGTCTATGTACTGGGCAATGCCCCGCAGCCACAGCCACCAGCACGAGAACGTCTCTACATTCAGCCAGAGAACTACAATGGCGAGGCTGGCGACTTAATACGCTTCGTTTGCCAGTCGACCAGCGGCGCCCAACTGCACTATGAGTGGCTGCACGATGGCTACCCATTGAACGGCCAGCAGCAGTCGAATGTGATCATTAGCGGAGATACCCTAGAGATACGAGATGCTACCACCCGGGACAACGGCGTCTACACGTGCGTTGGCAACGACTTAAGGACACATCGCAACTATACCGAAGATGCACGCGTCTACATCGAAGATCGACAGCAGCCCATCGGAAACGGGTAAGCAAAAGCACATCAACTCTTACGCAAGACTTCGTACTTTCAAAAGCATTCTGATCTATCGAGTCTGAAGCGAAACACAGATTCATCGTAGGATCTCGGAATGTTATAATGTTGTTCAGACCATGTGATAGAAGACAAGGACCTTTACAGTATCTAACGTGAACGTGAATGGAAAAGACTATCGATTTTGAGTGGGTTATCGATCTAAGCGTGCTGTAAGGGACACAAAATACGGACAGAAAGTCGGACAGACAAACGATAGAGCAGGGCAGAACGAGGCATCAGCTAAGTCTGTTAAAGAAAATATAAGCTTCAGTGATCGGACAGACCTCCTTATACTAAAACCCTGTTTAATATGTTAACAGCTTACCGTGACGGGGCAATTCTGGTTTCAGATTCGAATTCCGCACGCTTTTATATAACATTTTTATACAACTTAAGTATATAATTGCATAACATTTGCTTCCTGGTCGTCCTGCAGCAATCCTCCTCGTATTGTGCGACTTGAGGCAGAGCATGTCATCTATCAGGGCACCGACTTGAGCATTACCTGCGAATCGAGTGGCTCTCCCTACCCAAGCATTAAATGGATGAAGGTTCGTGACTCGATGCCCTCGAATGTCCAAATTACGGGCAATGTACTGCGCATTCACAATGCCATGATCGAGAATCGTGGCTGGTATGTGTGCACAGCCGAGAACGCCCATGGTACAGATCAATCCAACACTCATATCGACATTGAACGTAAGTAGCAATCTCTTTTCGGCTATATACTAAGCAATCGACACGATTCTGTGATTATATGATTATCAATTTCCCAGCGAAGTGCTATTGACCCTCCACGTCATCATCATGTTTAGGCATAGACCAAATTCTATAAAATGCATCAAGCTTTTGAGTCTGAAAAGATTTGCTTCAGCTCATAACACTCTTAAGCTCTTTTATGAACTCATTCAACAGAGCTTCATAGAGCTTTTACTCCATTCAAAAATTCATTTTTAGTTAAAAGCTTAAATGACATAGGGCCAAATAAATAGTCAACGTTAGTCTGCAAATGTTATGAAGCTTTTTTACAATTAAAAGCTTTGATTTCAGCAAAAAGCTCGAATGACTTAAATGCAATTGAATAGTAAATCTATTTCTTAAAAAATATAACAAAGCTTTTATACAATTGAAAGCTTCATTTTTAACAAAAGCTTTTATGACTTAAGTTCCCTCTTATGCAATATAAAGCTTATTTTCAGCTAAAAGCCTTAATATCTTAAACTGAATTTGATCCTAATTTAGCTTCGTCGATATTTTCTCTGTGAAGAAGAAAATCTCTCAGATTGAATAAAAGCTCTGCAGCTATAGCCTAAACTAGATGATGTAGTACCACTAGAACTAAGAACGCCGAGTGCATAACAACTCTCTTTGCTCTGTTTCTTCTTTCCCATTGCTTGCCACACCCAATTGACAATGTTGGTAAATTAATCAAATACATACTATACATATATATATATATATATTCTTGATACTTAATAACATATGATTTGTAAATGCAAGTGCACAAGAGTGGAGTCGGTAATAAGACAGGTCCGCACAGTCTGATCCTAATACTAATCTGTACAACCACCATAATTTACTTGCTTGCAGCTCGGGAGCGACCGAGCGTTGAGATAGAGCCAGTAAGGACACTCACCGTCGGCGAACAGGGCATCCTTTTTTGTCGCGTCCACGGCATACCCGAGCCGACGGTGCAGTGGCGCCGCGTCGATGATGCACCACTCTCGTCCCGACACGTCGAGCAGGCCAAGGGCTACATAGTGTGAGTATACATGAGCGCCTATCCAGTGTGGACTTGATGTTACCCAAACTGCATTCCTGCCCTATTTCGTTTGTAGCATCAACGAAATACAGGTCGCGGATGGCGGTGACTACGAGTGTTCGGCCGAGAACACCGTTGGGCGCACCACAGCCGTTGTGACGCTGAGAGTGATTGACCCACCGGTGATTCAACTGGATCCGAGCGAATCTCTTTTACCGTACACCGAGGGCGACGAGGTGCGCATTGCGTGCGTTGCCAGCGGCACCCCTAATCCGACCGTGCAATGGGACAACCAGCCGGCTGTTATGCCACTGGATACCCGACAAATTGGCTCGAATACGGCCTATTTGATCATCAATCGGGTGACACAGGCGGATGCCAAGGTCTACGTCTGCAAGGCTACGAATGAGGCGGGCGACGACGAGCGTACCATACGCATCGATGTGAAGCCCAAGCGGGGTGATATTGGCGATCGTAAGTAGCTTAACCAACCCTGTCTAGTAGCTGCGTTGGCACTGCATGCTGATAACAACTCTGGTAACTCTCTCTTGCAGGCGATGGCGATGTGGAGCGTGATCCTTACCTGCCGCCCTACTATCACCAGTCACAGCGTCCCAGCTCGGACACCATTCAGCGCTTCACAGCCAATCTGGGTGACAACGTGACCCTCACCTGTAATCTGGATCCCTACTTGAATACCGAATGGACGCGCGTCGATGGGCAGCCGCTACTGCCAAACGCTCACTCCGAACACAACAAGCTGACGATCACATTCGTTGAGGAGCACAATCTCGGTCAGTATCGCTGCAATGCCATGGATCATCGCGGTGCCCTGGTCACATATGTCGTGCGAGAATTGGTGCGTATGCCACTGCCCCAGATCACTTTCCGTCCCAACATACCGCTCGAGGTGGAGGCCAATCGCAATGTCGAAATCTACTGCGATGTGACCGGCGCCCGGCCCGAGGACGTGCAATGGGCCACCGACAATAACCGACCACTGCCCAGGTGAGTGCCCAGCAAGCAATCTCTCTATAATTGAAGCAATTCTTCCCTCTGCTTAGCTCCATCTACACAGAGTACATATATTTTCCTACAGGAATCTGTTAAATGCTAATCGCTTACTGTCACTGATCAAATCTTGCTTCCTCTGTATCGAAATCGATAATTATCGATATCATAGATTGATGAAATGAAAGTTTTATAGATGTTAGCTATTCTGAAATTGAATATTCCTAAAAGTATGCCTTATAAACTAACTATATCGAAGAGTTCCCTTTCACCATCGTCACAGCCCCCAGAAACTGGACTTAGAAATACTTTCATATAGAGTAAGAATGAAGCAGTGACAGTATAAGAGCTCCACAGTAAAAGAAGAAGAACTGAGTCATGAATAGAAGGAATAATCACTCTCATTCTCTCGCTCATTTACTCTCTCTGTCCCTTTCTCTCTCGCTCTCTGTCACACAGCTCCGTGCACATCGAGGGTCAACTGTTGCGCTTCATAGCCATAACTCCGGCTGATGCTGGCGGCTACAGCTGCACGGCATCGAACGAATACGGCAACATTAGCAAGATCGCCCAGGTAGTTGTGCGTCCGCCGGCTACCTACACGCAGCAACCGATCTCTATGCAACAGCAGCGGCGCGAGGGCGAGAGCATTCAGATGCGCTGCACTGTGACGACGCAACGTGGCGAGCAGCGCGTCAATACTCAGGTGAGGAGTGAATTAGCTTAAGAAATCGCCTGTCGCTTAGCGTGCATCGATAACAATCGATTATACTCGATTCGAACAGTTCAACTGGTATCGCGAAGATGGACAGCCGCTGCCCAACAATGCTCGTTCCGACAGCCAGATCCTGATCCTGACATCGTTGCGCTTGGAGGACGCCGGTCGCTACATATGCGATTCGTACGACATCAACACCAGGCAGCGTTCCCCGCCCACCTACGTCGACTTGAGTGTACAGCGTGAGTAAAACCCTAGAACGTCCCCCTTAAAAAGAAAAACCACACAACATCCTACCAAACCAACAACAAAAAATCAACAAAAACAAAAAAAAAGAAATATATATAAAACAAAGAATATTCCTCTACACATAAACCCCAAACACAACAGATATATCTCCTTTATCTCTCTCTCTCTCACACACACACAAACACACTCCATTCTTAGGCCAGAGAATTTCAATTGCAAAATGATACCAAAAAAAGAAATATATATACCAAAAATACCACAAAAAATTTATTATTAAATATTAACAGAAATCGAAAGAAAGTTTATTAAAAACAAAAAAAAGGATTAGGCTTTGTTGGCAATACGAAAAGATATATATTGAATCAAATCAAAGAATTATCTATATATATACACGTTATAAACCGAAGAGCAGATTGAAAGATTAAAACACTCGCTCGCTGATTTTACTTTGTTCTTATCAAGCCTATTTATATGTATATATATATATATGTATGTGTATATGTATATATATATATATATATATATAGGTAACACTTTATATCTATATTCAATGTCCATATGTATATGTGTATCCATATGTGTATGTATAGCTCTAGCTGCTACTACTACTTGACTAAACACATACACAGACACACAGACACACACACACACACACACACACACACAGCACACACAGCACACACAGCACACACACGTTTATATACATATATCAATGAACAACAGAAAACACCATGTAAATATGCGAGCCTTTAACTTATCAAATACCTACAAATGTAATTACAAACACACACACACACAGACACACACATAGGTAATAATCTGTTATAACGGATACGGATTTGTTGGTTCTAGGGTATTAAACACTCTGTATATATGACAATAAGCCATTAACAATTGTAACATACAACAAAATGCCATTATATATAACTGATTAATTTTGCAAACTGGTGAAGGTGTTGACACACTCTATGAACTGCCACGCACACACACACACACAAATGACAAATACCACGAAATATACCAAAAAAATACTATGAAGTATGACAATTGTTAAGCAATTCTTAACTTATGTACAGCTCACGGCATGCCCACGCAACAGTAACAAACAAGAGCCTACGAAACGATCCGAAAATACCTCGAAAACAACAACAACATACTCACGCACACCCACGCCTACACACACACACACCCACACCCACCACGCAAAAGCCAACAACAATTCTTTGTATGATTCTTTTTTCGATACATTTGAAATTGGTCAATCTTAAGTTGCAAAAAATCCGAAAGAAAAACAAACACAAAAAACTTTTCAATTCATTTTTATATACAAAAAGTCAACAAATTGAAATTCTATATAATCTATATATGCTTAATGAATATGTTTTTTTGTAATTATTTTACATACATACGAGCACATATTAATGCAATGGACGCATATTACGTAAACATAACTATTTTTAAACAATAAAGTTTTAAGCTTAACAGTGGCTGCCATAAATCTAATACCAAAATACGTTTTAAGTCCCAGCTGTGGTTTTTTTTTTTGCTCTAAGTCCCGACAAATAAAATAACAAATACTTACATACATTAACTGTGTAAAAGCAAACAAAAAAAAAAAACAAAAAAACAAAAAAAAACAACAACAAAACAAACTTGTAAAATATTTCTTTTTATTTCGTTTATTAACCTTCAGTTAAATATGCCCTTGCAGTAGACCATACGAACTGGGCTCAGAGCTCAGCTAGCTAGCTGAATTTTGTTATAGTCACACTTAGTCACAGTCCAAGATATGATATGAATTGCAAAAATAGCAACACTAAAAATTATCATATATAAAAATTATGATATATTATATAAAAGCATTGGCCCAGACATAAGCGATTAATATTGAAGCTATACATTTAGTCAAAAGTTAGTCAATTTCTTAGTATATTTTATATATTTCCAAGTAATAACAATTAATATTACACGTAAGGCTATATTGCTATATTGGTTTTCTGTCAGTCCGTCTGTCTCTTATCAACTTATAGTAAATGTAGTCTTAAGCTGTGGATCTTCATTGGTTTCCCGTCAGTATTATTTGGTAACAGTAAGCCTGGGGCTCTGAAACAGTCAATGCTTGATTTAGAGGGAGATAGGGAGAAAATAGAAATTACATATTACTCTGTCGCTCTCACTGGGTATATATGATTGACTGCAAGGGTATTGAGTCCTTGGACTACCAAGGATCACTCTTATATCTTATGTTGAATTTATCATTTTTGTTTAGTATTATTTCGATCTTTCATGTTTCGTTTTTTCTATTGTTTTTTTGCCCTCTCGGTGCCATTTTTGTAATTTTTGCTGGTGTCGGTCGATTACATTCACTTGGTGGCCACGGAAATTATTATTTTGTATATTTTTTGGATTTTGGTTCTGGTTTCGAATGGTTTTTGGGATTGTTGCTTAATTTTAATTTACCGGATCAGCGGCGGTACTTTTCTGTTTACTCGTAGTATTTTGTTTTAGTTAAAGACGATCGAACAACAAATCAATTGCACTGCACACACCCTAAGTCTCTCTCTCTATCTCTCTCTCTCTCTCTCTCTCTCTCTCTCTCTGTTGCTCTCTCTCTCTCTCCTAATCCAAAATTGCGCTCTTCTTTACCTCATTTACCTACCCTTCCTAGCCCCCTCTATCCACAACGCACACAAAGCTGCACCTGCACTCAAATTGTATTATAAAAAGAAAAAAACAAATAAATAGAAAAAATACCAAAAATATACGAATAAATTTCTCATGTATTTGTGACCAATGATAACTATGTAAATAATCTCCAGTTGAAAGTCTCACAGTAAATTGTTTTTTAATATTCGTATTGTCGTACTTTTTGCCTTGAATAAGTTAAAATCAGTTTAAAAGCAAAGGAATTCAATGAAACAAAATCAAATTTGAGGTTCGATTTTGAGCAACGTTTTCTGGACAAACTAAATACCGCATTGGCAAGCTTAAAACCCAAAAATTATATTCCAAATTTCAAATTCTCAAACCACTTTAAGCGCTGCTCTGCCAAGGTCTATCTTTAATATTTTTGATTTGAAAAAAGAAAATGAATACAAAACGAATTCAATTATTTTTGAATATTTTAGCTTAGGACCTATATAATTTTTCCTTTTTTTTCTCTCAAATGGTACACATCAAATAATTTGATAAATATTTTTTATTTCTCTCTTTCTTTACTGCTTTTTTCTCTTCTCTCTCCCTCTTTCTTTTACATGTGCGCTTGTGCAAAAAAAAAAAACACATACACACACACACACCTATATATATATATATATATATGTATATATGTATATATGTATATATATATATATATAAATATATATATAAATATATGTATTAATTATATATATATATATTTAATTTTTATGAAATTTTGTTTTGGGCGCTTCGCATAAAATACCGAATTTAAAAATACCAAACGAATTATGTTCGTTTATATATATATAAACCATGTGCGAATATGTATCTACACACACACACATATATATATATATATATATATATGTATGTATATATGTTTACATATATACTATCTAATATGATATGCTGCAACAACTACAACAACAACAACAACAACAACATCAACTGCTACAACAACAACTGCATCAACAACAACAACCGCCACAACTGCATTCAATCAACATACAAAAAATATATATACCAACGACAAAATACCAAAATACCAAAATACCATATAAACAAAAAAACCGAAAAATACCAATAGAAAACAATTATAGCTTGTATAGGGGCGGCCAAGATTTTCCCTGCGTTGTTCTATACATATGCGCAGGTGTGTTTCACCGTAATAATCCAAATTGAAATTCATTTTTCAGCCCAACTTAATACCTATTATTATTATGATTATTATTACTATTATTATTATTTTTTGCTTGAGTATTTTTTGTTTTTATTTTTTAAATACCACTTGCATATTTGGTAGTATTTATTTTGTATACTTTGTATTATTTTATTTTTCTTTTCTACTTATTTCGAGCTTAAAAAAAATACTAAAAATTACTTTCAAAATTTGTATATACCATAAATGAGTTGCGATCTACGAATCGAAATTAACTAAACTAAAAACAAAACCAGAAAAAAAAAGAAAACGAAAAAACCTCTTTGTTTACCGCCCACTAAAATGACACACACACTCCCACACACACACACACAAATACACTCTGCAGGACAATGCACCATTTAGTATTTAGTGTTAGTATTTTGTTGGTATTTAGTGCAACTGGCAAAGAAAAACGCAAAACTCAATCGCATTCAATCAACTATATATATAGATATATGAGCATGGATTTGTGCAACATCAACTACTTGGAATAATGAAAATAAATTTAGTTGGAGTCCGGGTCGTATACGTAATATGTTCAGTAGCAGCACTTTGAAGCGGGCAACTATTTACTAACCGTGGCTCGATGGCTAATTCGTCTATATATTTTTGCTAATCTATTCTCTTATGCTCTTCAAACAACAAAAACTCTTGATTTACAAAAATACTGCAAAAATACCAATTGCTAAAACAAAAACAAAAATGAAAACCGAAAACGCGAAAAACCCGTCAACAAAAATTAGATTTCAAATTAAACAAACTGACACCAGCCAAGCCGCTGGCCACGCCTCCACGCGTCCCGACCCCCAGCACATACGCCTGCCAAGCGACAGACTTCAAGTGCGTCTCCCACCCGCACACGTGCATCAAGGCGAGCATGGTCTGCGACGGCATCTACGACTGCACGGATCACTCGGACGAGTTCAACTGTAGCCGCGAGCTGGCCGGCAAAGCAATGGGTCGCGCCCCCACTGGGGGCGTGGGCGTGGGCGTGGGCGTAGGCGTAAGCGTGGTCCATGGCATGGGCACTACGACTGGACCAGGCAACAGCTTCAAGCGCTGGAAGAAGAGCTGGAAGAGGCAGCAGCCCTGGCAGCAGGCAGATCGAGGCCATCGAAAGGATAAACAGCAACGAGTTGGGCAGCCAAAGGCCAAAGGCTTCTTCGGTTCGTCTTAAGCTTTTCACAATTTCTTGTTCACTTTTTTCCCCACTCACTAGCCTTCTTCCTTTCTCTCTCTCCTTCTCTCCCTCTCTCTCTATCTCTCTCTCCCTCTTTCTTTCTCTATATATATCAGCTGCTTAACATTTCCTTTATCATCTATCTTTGTTCGATCCATCATCTCATCTATGCTGCTTGGCTGCAACAAGCCGCTGTCAAAATTTGACAGGCACTTGCACAATTCGGTAGCAGCAACTGTCACATTTGACAGCAGCTTCAGCTTGTAGAGCTTGAACTTGCATTCTATCATATCAGATCATGTCTCTCATGTCATTCAGCTATCCTCTATCTATATAACTGGCATATCTATCTATCCATCCATCTATCCACCTATCTATCTATCTATCTATCCAACTGGTTGGCTCCTCTAACAACGTTCCGTAGCCGCACAACGAGAAAATCTGCAACAATTGCAATTCGCACTCAACTCACGTATCAAAATCTAAATAATAATAAAATGTAAGCAACTGCAATATGAACTTAGCTAGAGCAGTTGCCACAACATCAGCAAGAGCAACAGCAACAACAACAACAACAACCACAGCAGCAACAACAACAACATCTGCAAGAACAACAACAACAATTAGTCGTAGTGTGTGTGGGTAGAGCTGCTTTTGATTTTCCTGACCCTATGCAGTTTCTTAGTACGTAAGTCGTAACGGTAGTGTTATCGATAACGATCACAAATAACGATAACAACCAACAAGAACAAGAGGAAAACCCGCTAACGCGCGCATGTCGTTAAATCAAAGCATTTCTTATTTATTTTTTGTTCCTTGTGGCCTCGGGCTCGTCTGCATGTAGGTAACTCCAACTAACCCGAACTGTTTCAAAATACTGTACAAATATCGATAAATTTGTCAAGCAAAATTTTGTAAATAAAATGTAACACACACACACAAACACACACACTCACACCCACACCTGACTAGCCAAATAAATTTCTGAAAACAACTGAAAAAAAAAAAAAACAAAACTAAACTAAAAATCTTTCGATCGATCAACAAAAATTGCCATAAAAAATACTTCTCAATCTATATCTAAATGTGTAACTGACTACCGAGTAGAGTTCGTATTGTATTGGTAGCCTAGACATATGTGTGTATGTAGCTAAGTATATGTATCTGAATACGTATTGGCCTAGTGGTAACCCCTTATACTATATCTATATATACCTGTCATTCGTTCTATAAGCTGAAAATACCAAAAAACAAACAACCATAACTCCCTCCATTACACATACACATATACTCGTATTTCTGTGTGATTCGAACCAGTAGACCTCTTTAGTACTTTATGTAGCTGTGTGTTCTAGTGTTATCATTTCTATATAATTCTATTCTCTCTTTTTTTGTATTTTTTATTAATTTGTTTGAAAACAAAACAAAAATATTTCATCAATCTATTCTTCCCTCTATTCGCCCCAAACCCAAAACATCTATGTATTTATTTGTCTAACTAGAATACGAAATTCCAAAAAAAACCAAAAAAATACATAAATATGACTAAAAAACAATAAAGTTCATCTAGCTTTGGCGAGCCAAAGCCTGAAAATACCCTTGTAGAAGAAAGACCTAAGATACCTCGAGTCCAGTGAAAATCGTCTGTGATATCTGCCATATGGGGACATATACATAGCTCTAAGGCAAGGCATAGGCCCGTCTGTACCATATACTCCATATGGTATACCTTTTGAGGAACACGGGCAAGACCTGAAGAAGATTTTCAATCAAAGGAAAGCTGTGCAAATATATCTCTCTCTTTGTCGATCTGTGGCTGCTTATCGAACACAACTCTTTCTGCTCTATGTAGTCAGAAGACTCTTTCGACCCATAGACTAGGCATTTGCCTCTTAAGTAATCTGTTCATAGCTGACTGTCTAGTCCGGTCTGTTCTGTCTGTCTCTGTCGAGCTGAATTCTACAAGGGTATCTAAGGATGCGAGTGCGTATTCAAAAAGAACGCACTCGCACACACGCACACTGACATACATACATACGATCAGAAGTATCGATAGATCTATCGTTGCTAGACTTCGATAAACATATATCGCATCATGTATCTGTATAAATTACCATTTTTGATATGTTTTTGCTAACTGCTTTTTCTCTCTGTGTATTTTTTACTATCTTACCTTCCCATCTCAATGCATCATCTCACACACCCACACCCACACACACACACACATACACTCACCGTTCACACACACACACACACGAACACACACGTGCACTCGCTCATCCCATAACCCAATTGTGAATTGTCGCCCAATTGTGAACGTTGCAACCGCCGAAACATCCTCGACTCGTCGTTCACGTCGTTCTCGTCGTCCTCGTCGTCCCCGTCGTCCTCGTCGTTGTCGTCGTCTTCATCCTCGTACCGCTTCGTCTTCGTCTTCTGTTGTGTCTACTGTGTATTGTGCTGCCACCTCCTGTGGCTGTGGCTTGGCTTTGTTCTGCAGCGGGCCAACCGGGTGCCTATCTGCCGCCTTCACGGCCAACGCCCCCGCCAGAGCCAGTCGTGCCACGTGACTACAGCCTGAAACTGGATCAGCAATCATCGAAATTACACGTTGGCGAGTCGACCGAAGTTGAATGCTACTCCTCGGACAACAGCTACACGGATGTGATCTGGGAGCGCTCCGATGGAGTGCCGCTCTCAGCCAATATACAGGTGAGTGACATTGTCCGATCAATAACAGTATCATCTAATCTCTCTCTCTCCCTTTCCCTCTCTCTCTCACTTGTAGCAAGTGGGCAACCGTCTGGTAATTACTGAAGTGACCGCTGCGGATGCGGGCAACTACGTGTGCAAGTGCCGTACGGATAATGGCGATCTCTACACGACCAGCTATGAGCTGGCCATTGAGGAGCAACCCCATGAGCTGCGTCGTCCGAAGATCGTGCACGCCAATGTCGGCGATCAGGCCCAGCTGAGCTGCGGCGCCGATGAGAGTCGCCAGCCCAGCTATCGCTGGTCACGTCAGTACGGACAAATGCAATCCGGACGCGATATACTGAGCGTAAGTAGAGCGACGTCTAGCGGGCGAATCAGACCAACCGAATCTAACGAGCTCCTCTTTTGCAGAACGAGCTGTCGCTGCAGGGCGTGCAGGCAAGCGATGCCGGCAGCTACATTTGCACAGCCGTCTATAACGATGGAGAGTCCGTGGATTATCCGAGCATTTTGGTCATCACGGGAGTTATACCGCAATTCAGTCAGCAACCACTGAGCTACATGAGTTTCCCCACCCTGCCGGACTCCTCGTTCAATTTCAACTTTGAGATCACCTTCCGGCCGGAATCAGCCAACGGCGTGCTCCTCTTCAATGGACAGACGCGCGGAGCTGGCGATTACATTGCGCTCTCGCTGAAGGACCGTTATGTGGAGTTCCGCTTCGACTTCGGCGGCAAGCCGATGGTAGTGCGTGCCGAACAGCCCTTGGAGCTGAACGAATGGCATACGGCACGTGTGCAGCGCTCACGTCGCGACGGCTACATTCAGCTGGACGAACAGCATCCGGTCGCGTTCCCCACGCTCACCCAAATACCGCAGCTGGAGCTCATCGAGGATCTGTACATTGGCGGCGTGCCCAGCTGGGAGCAGCTGCCCGCCGAGGCGGTGGCAGAGCAAACGGGCTTCGTCGGCTGCATAAGCCGTCTAACGCTCCAAGGTCGCACCATAGAGCTGATGAAGGACGCCAAGTTGAAGGAGGGCATCACTAGCTGCAAGCCGTGCGCCGCGTCGCCCTGCGCCAACGGCGGCATTTGCCTGGAAAGCCAAACGGAACTCGCCTACACCTGCGTCTGCCAGCAGGGCTGGACAGGCCGCAACTGCGCCGTCGAGGGTACCCAGTGCACTCCGGGCCTGTGCGGTGCCGGCCGTTGCGAAAACACTGAGCTGGACATGGAATGCCTGTGCCCGCTCAATCGCACCGGCGACCGCTGTCAGTACATGGAACACCTAAACGAACACAGTCTCAACTTCAAGCGAAACAGCTATGCGGCCTACAAGTGAGTAAAACATTCTACTAACGACTCGTCCTAGCCTTAGAGACTAGCCTTAGCGACAGATTGATTGCATAGAGACATCCTTGTGTTGGGTTTGATTTGGACTAGGTCCAGGCTGCTAAGTGAATTCTCCTGTTGCAAGTGTTGCTTCTGCCTCAAAGCCCTGCAGAACATAAGACCTAGCCTTAAGAAATAAAAGAGCTTTTCATCTTCAAGTTCACTGAAACATGCAATGGGTCGTGGGAGGTAGACCTCAGCGGCATGAAGTGAGGTCAAGCACTGTCCCGCAATGTCGAGGCGGGACTAACTCGAACTATCAAGCCTTGTCTTAAATTTCGATGTCGAAACTCTGTTATGTTCTAGCTTCGCAGCCCAAGGCTCAGTCATTCAATTGAAGTCCTTTTCTTTGTTTCACAGCACACCTCGTGTATCGCGCATCAATGTGACTCTATCGTTGCGCCCAGCCAGCTTACGGGATGCAGTGCTGCTGTACACGGCCGAGTCGAAGCTGCCCAGCGGCGATTACGTGGCCCTTGTGCTGCGCGACGGTCATGTCGAGCTGATCATTAACACGGCTGCGCGCCTTAAGCCTGTCGTGGTGCGTTCACAGAAGCCGCTGCCCCTGCATAGATGGACACGGGTCGAGCTGCTGCGTCGCCAGGGCGAGAGCATTTTGCGTGTCGGCGATGAGCCCGAGCAGAGGGCCAAGGCGGCGGGTGCACCGCGCACACTCTCGCTGAAGACGCCGTTGTATGTGGGCGGCTATGATCGGGCCACAGTCAAGATCAATCGGGATGTGAATATCAACGAAGGCTTCGATGGCTGCATTTCGCGTCTCTACGACTCGATGCGTCCTATTCAGTTGCTCGCTGCCGTTAAGGACGCGGCCAATGTGCAAAACTGCGGCGAACTCAATGAGATCGGGGACAATGACTTTGATGGCGAGCTGCCCGTGGTGCCTGTGGCGCCAACCAGCGACACTCGCGCCTCCCACCACGAGGAGGAACAGCAGCCCTATGCGATGTCGCCCTGTGCCAATGAGCCCTGCGAGAATGGCGGCACCTGCCGCGAGGTGGAGCAACAGGCGATCTGTGCCTGCAGCCTGGGCTACAGTGGCAAGCACTGCGAGGAGCGTAAGTGGAGATCAGTTGGAGATGGCTTCGAGCTACCCTCGATCTAATTGAATGTGATTCTCTTTCGTGCAGACATCCAAGTGAGCTTCAATGCCTCGTTCCGTGGCAATGGATATCTGGAGGTGGATCGCAGCCAGTTTAGCTCGGAGATAGACCAACAGTACACCTCAGCAGTGGTGGTCTTCTCCACGAACAAGCCCAACGGCCTGCTACTCTGGTGGGGCCAGAAATCTGGCGAAGAGTTCACCGGCCAAGACTTTATAGCCCTAGCCGTCGTCGATGGCTTGGTGGAGTACGCCCTGCGTCTGGACGGCGAGGAGGTGGTCATACGCAACGTGGACACTCCTGTGGATGATGGCCAACGCCATATTGTGCTTGTGAAGCGTGCGGACAACACTGCCATTCTCGAGGTCGATCGCATATCCGACTCCGGCGAGACGCGCCCCACCAGCAAAAAGGAGATGCATCTGCCGGGCAATGTCTTCATTGGTGAGTTTTCCGACGTCACAGCCTAGTCATTGGTATTAACGTTAATTTGCCTCTTGCTCAATTTCAGGTGGTATTCCGAACATCTCAAACTTCACGGGCAAACGCTATTCGCACAACTTCAACGGTTGCATCGTCTTTGTTGAAGGTGATGCCGTTGGCCAGATCAATCTGGGCAAGGCCTCTGTCAGTGGCGTCAACGTGGATACCTGTCCTGTGTAAGTACCTGAAAGCCCTGCTCAGATCAGCTTAGATCAACTGCGGCTTAGCTTAAATTGAAATCAAATGGGGTTCTAGACTAAGTAAGTTACATAGTCTCTTAGCAAGATAAGCTTGGAACTTTTTATATAGGGGAAGAAAGGATTCCCCTAAAAAGTAGACTGCCTATATATTATATATTTATATTATATTATATTTCGAGAAGTCCAGAGAGAATATTCAGAGTTTAGATGAGATGCAACGAAATAGTTTAACTACGATCCTTAGACTCAGGGATCTAGGACCTCTCCAATCTAAGGCTGGCTTAGCTACTGTATTGTGTTTTGTTGCATTTTCATTCTGCTTAAGCTCAAGGGGCAAATCACGGGCTTTCCATGGCTTTTTTATTTAACTTATCTCTCAATTCTGCACGCTGCTTGCGGCTCTGACCTGGCGGAGTTTAGGGACTATTGGAACCCATCCAGCCTCGTCTATCACGACTACGATCCGAGTGATAAGAGATATGATCCAAATTTCTTCGACAAGCTCGATCAGCCGCCGCCGGTGCACATCATCTACCCGCGACCCAATCTCGATCAGCTGCCACACAGTGTCCACGGATATGCGTACGATGCGAGCGTTAGGGCTGTGGGCGTGGCAGTGGCACCGTTAACCCTACTCGCGAGCAGTCTCATCTGGCTGCTGCCTGCGCCCAGCTAAGCGCGCAGCACACTGGCGCCATCTGTTGCATAAAAAATACAAAAACGAAAGATAAAAAAAAAACAATTATCGTGCCATATCATTGCAAAATATCATGTTATATAAATACATATACAAAGTATATACGAGCGAAACTGTAGCTAAGGCATAGAGAAATATTTGAAATAACTGTTTACTACAAGATCCTAAAGGAATCAAGCATCTATAACAAATATATCTAGCAAATGATGTTTTTTTGTAGTTAGCACCGGAATATTGTTAAAAAAAAATAAAAAAGCATCGTTATTTTTTTTTTAGCCACTAAGAAACTATAGAAATTAATGGGTCAAAAAACTTAATGAGTCAAAAAGTATATTCAATATGGAGCGTATAGCTAACCTATCAAAATGAAATCATACTAAAATCAATTAAAATATACAATATATATATATATATTATGAAATAAATGCATATACATACTGGATATATATACATATATATATATATATATATATATATATATATGATTGAAATGCTGGCACATGTGAGTTCTTAACTCGAAGCGTTGAGACAAAGTCTGAAACTGCAGAAGAATTTCGTTTTATTTTCTTCCTTTATTTATTTATCTTAATATAGAAACTTGAAAAAAGAATAGAAAGAATTATTATTTTGCCTATGCAAGAGTACAACTATATCAACATAAAATTAAATACATATACTATATCACTATATTAATTGATATATGCCTAAGTTTCCTTATTATTAGCGAAAATGAACTACTAAAAGCTTTGAAAGCTCCTTGAATCTTAGTTCAAAGCTTGTACACACTTGTGACTCAGCTAGGTAAGCTCTTAAAGCTCCCAAAACGCAATTAGGCCTCAAAGGAGTTACAAGTTTATTAAAGCTCGAGGGATACTCAAAGGTTTCCCCTGCTTTCCATTTAGATTTAAAATATAATCAAGATGCGATTCAAACATCTCTCGAATCTTTATACGAATAGGAATTCGAACTAATTCAAGACAGAACAGCTCATATTCATTTTGATTTTTTTATGTTTACTGGGGTAAATATATTTGTTTTTATGCAACACTTATGAAACGTAATTTTTATTTAATAATTTAGCAATATTATCAACAAAAAAGAGTGTTTAAAACACTTTTTATTTTCTGTATTCTTAAAGTTTATTCATGACAATTATTTAAGTATTTTTATTAAATATAATTTTTTATTAATATTTTTTATCATTTTTTTATTTTTTTTTTGTATTGTTTTTGTAAAAATTTCTTATTTTTAATTTTTTATAATTTTTAATTTTTTATATATAAGTAAATTATTAATTTTTTGTTTAATATTTAACATATTTTGATAGATTATATAAACTTAAGAAATATTTTTAATTCTCAACATTTTTTTATATTTTATTTATTTGATAAAAAATGTTTTTTAACTTGTATGTATAGTACATATGTATATAAATTTTATTTTTTTTTTATATTATTTTGTTTTCTTAAATCTTAATTTTGCGTCAATTTTGTTTTTTCATTTTCGGTACCCTCCAGTAATGATGAAGCCCTGGGTGGCACCGAACCACCTGTCGTTTAAGGCAATATACCAACAATAACAAAACCAACAACAACAGTAACAAAATGAAACCCACACAAGTTAGGTTTTTTTTTTAAATAAACTCTTTTTTATATCTACACATATATAAATATATATAGAACAAAAGTTTAAAAGAAAATGTTGTGTCGAGTAAAACAAATACGAATTGTTGCAATTGCTTCAACTACTACATTATATGTTGGCTAAAAATATGAAAAGCAATCGATAATAATAATAATAAAAATAAAAAGAATAATATTAATAATAATAATACAGATAATAACCGAGAAGGAAAACCAAACCAACTAAACTTTAAACGTACAACGGCCATAAGAAGTGAAAGCTCGAAACGAAACAATAATGTTTTAATGGATTCATATACCCTACAATAAATACATATATAAACATATATATATATACATTTAAGGTCCGACTAACACACAATAACGCATACTAGCCAACAACAACAAGAACAAACTACATATAACTAAGCATTTTATAATTTTTTTTTTAATTTTTTTGTCGATTCAAATGATTTCGTTTCGCCCAGTGTAAAATGCTGTGCAGCTTGACAATTCACAGTAATGGCATATAACACACACACACAGACACACACAAACACACACACACAACAAGCATATGCACAAAGTTTATAAACTTAAAACTAAATATACTTATATTACAGTTAATTGAAACAAGAATAAAAGTAAAAAAGAACAAAAAAATTTAAAATTATTCTCAACATAAATGTATAATACGATTGAAACTGTTAAGTGGATAACAACAAAAAAACCAAATAAAAAATTAAAAAGAAAAACTTGGCACGTGTTTCATGTTTTGGGCGAGACGGGGGGAAGTGGGTTGGTTGGGTGGTTGTCTGTGCCTGCGCGTCTGCAGCAGCGCAGTTTCCTTAACGCACGACAGCACTGCGCATGTTCGGCTGGATGCAACGAGCAGCTTTATGGCATTGCGCCGGCCTTTGTTGCTCTCAAAAGCCGCGACGCTTCGTCTTCGTGTTGAAAGTGGCCGAAGCAAGCCGAACGTCGCGTCGACCGGCCTCGCTGTCGTCTATGTGTGTACGCGAAGACAATTTCGTTCAGTTACTTACGTGACGCGACGCTGACAGGTTGTGTATTGTGCGCGCATCTTAAAACGTTCGTCTCCTCCCAAATTGCTTTTGACGTGTTTTTTTTTCTATGTGCGTTCTGTTTAATTTTTTTTGTTGTGTTCGCTCGCAGCCCGGGAACTTTGCGAAATTGTTATCAATGAGCTGCAGCTACAGATGCTAATGATCATCTGGCTAATGAGGATTGTGCCTACCTGTTAATGTGCGCGTTAATTGGCAGCAAATGCAGTTAGCCAAATAAAAAAAAAAAAAAAAACAAAACAAAACAACACAACGAAATCAACGTAAATCAGAAGAAGCAGAAGTGCGTGCGAAGTGGTTGAGCCGTTTGCATTGTTAGTGTCTTCTTTGATTCTATCTTTATATACACATATGTATTTTGTTGTTCCTTTCGATTTGTATTTATATTTATATTTATTTTTGTTTTTATTTTTAAAACGTTGCGGCGGCCGGCAAACAGCTGCAAAGACAAACGACAAAATGACATAAATACTTGTCTTTGTGTATGTGTGTGTGTAATGTACTGATGTATGTATGTATGTATTTATGCATGTGCATAAGCACCCAATGCCTATAAAACTGATGTACGAATGATTGAGATATGACTTTCTAATTGATGTACGGTAAATGGTATATGAGATTGATGGAGATCTACATATGCGTACATACATAACTTCTGCATAAATACTTACATATATGCACATACATGCATATATACATACATACATTTATATGCACGTATATTTGTACCTACATATGTTTGTTAAGCTCATTCATACGAATACCCGTTAAATAGCTATTCATGCGGCTTTGCCTTTCGCCTCGGGACACAATTTTGGCGCTGCTTCCTCTTCCCCATTTCGAATGCCAAAATTTATTTGAAATTGAGTGAGATAGAGATTGAATACAATTTCGGAAATGTGCCGTTGTGCCGCTAGCGGTCTAACGGATGTGAGGAGGGGAGGAGGCAGAGCTAAGATAGTTTCCGCTAATGCGAATCTTTCGCTTCTCTTTTGCCATTCGATTTCTAATGGACTTATCTATTGTTACAACGTATGTTTCTATGTGTGTATGTAGGCTGCTAGTGAAGGAGAGTGCAGAGCGGAAAGTCTCTCTTCTGACTTGAGTGCAATGACAACTGAGTGAATTGAGTGAAGGAAACAGCTCGTCGTTTTAAACTAGGACTCCTGCACGGATCGTACAGGTGAGTTGTATTTGTTTTTTGTTGTTCGTTTTTGTTGATCAGCTACGCAGCCAGGCAGACAGCTAACGGCAAAAGCGCGACTGGAAAGTAGTTCATCTGGTCAACAAGTTGTCCATAAAATACGACTGGCCCGTTCCATTCGAGCTGACAATTTGTATCGGCCAAGTCGGCAACGCATGCCGCTGTGTCCTTTTTTGGCCAATAGTTGCCACCAGTTTTTGTTGTTTTCTTAGTACGACTTTGGCCCATTTCGGCATCATCAGCTACAGCAACAGCAAGCAAGTGCTTCGCAGCTCAAAATTGACGTTTAGCGCGTACACAAACCCAGACAGGAGCAGCGACGCAGCAGCGCAGCCACTGCGCACAGTAATACGAGCTATGCGCAGCTCGCTCTTGTTGCTGTTGCTGTTACCTACAACGATGCGGCCAAAATGCAAAGAAATGAGCGATCAGCCCCCGACCCCATATCCCATGTCCCATGCCCCATGCTGTTGATAACATTAATGAACTGTCTACAACTGCGTCGACGCGTCGCGACGGTGCTGCCCGCACAAGAATAGAAACCAACACAGAAACGAACGAACAAACCAACACACACACACACACACGCACGCACAATTCTTGGCAAAAGGTAGAAATGCTGAGTGCGGAATGCAAGCAAGCAACAAGAGAGAGGGGGAGAGAGAGCAAGTGAGAGCAGCGATGCCTGCTGTGCAGTCGACGTCGCCGTGTTGATATTGTTGTTCCTATTGCAGTGCCTTTTGCTCTTTGCCTGGGACCATTCTCTCATTCCTGCTAACAATAAATCAAAAGGCAATGCAAGAACAATCAACAACAATGCAGAACTGCACATGTGCTTATGTGTGTGTGTGTGTGTGTGTGTGTGTGCGTGTGTGGAAAAGCCCAACAAAATAAAAATCAAGGCAAGTGTCGTCAACGTCAACGGCGACGTCATCGGCTGCAGCGACTGCGAGCGCGACTGCAATGTTAGCGCAGGCAAAGGAGCGCAGACAGTAACGCTCTCTCGCTTGCACTCATCGTTAAACTCAGTTGCTGTTGTTGTTGCTTATGAGATTTCATTATTACTTTCGATTGTTGTCCGCGTCCATTGAGAGCGGCCCAAGAGCTGCTCAGCTTTGGCCGAGAATTGTTCTGGGCCCAAAACAAATAAACAGATTGCAGCAGCCCAGCAGGCAGATGCGCTCTTCTCTGCTCTAATCGCATAAGCAGCTACACACACACACACGCACACACATGCACAAGTTGTCTGGTATGTAGAATGGGCCACACTGAAAAGGTATAAAATAAATAAAGCAATAAATGGAAAATAAATTTCAGAAATTGCTTTTCAAGTGGGTAAACGAAACAGCAACAGGTTCCAGGTTCCAGCTTCAGCTCCTTCCTCTCTCTCTCTCTCTCTCTCTGCCCGTCTCTCTCTGTTGGATGCTTTTGTATTCCCTTTTAAAGCCTGGATGCACCGTTGTCATTCAGCCCCTACACTTGCAGCGTCATCTTTGTCTGCGTTAACTGCTCTGCTCTGCTCTGCTCGGGTCGTCTCTCCCTCTTGCCCCTTTCGACGGATCTGTCAGCTACCGAGTTGAGAGATATGCCCATAAAGACCTTTTTCATCGCATTCTCGCAAGTCTCTGGGAATCCGAGCGCTTCTCATATCATCATTCCAAATTGAGCTGATCTTTTATTATTGTATAACAATTCCCAATATGATTCACGATATTTCGTGTTGATGGTGTTCCCGACGATACTTCCATTATGATAAACTCTGATAATCGGCGTGGGCAGCGCCTTGAGTTGACCTAAGGGATTACTTTCAAGAATTCCGAGCCGGCACTAAAAGTTATTAGTAGAGTCGAAGCGTAAGCTTTCACTTACACGACCTTTAGCCCACCTTTACGTATTATGTGAAACACCTGTTAAATGAAGTTTCCCAGAGATCTTCAAAGAAAAGAAAAATAGCTTTGGCTCCATTTCAGTCACTCATTTAGTTAGTCCAGTCCGCTTTCAAATCTTCAACTTTGACTTGGACGACTTCGATCTGGTTTTGCATTCCGATTCCCAAAGCGCTTCACTCTCTTGGCCTGATATACAGACATAATATCACGACTCGAATCATTTGACGCATTGCTAATTGCAAAAGCACAATGCAATTCTAGTTTTGCGTCCCTTCTTTTCTGCTTTGTGCGGTCCGTTCTCTGCGCTTCTCATCAGGTCGCATCGGCCGTCAAATTAGCGATTGACACCTTTTTGGGATTTCAGATTTCGGGTTCGATCCGTAAAAACAGCGCATAAAAATTATTTCACGCTTGCCGATTGGAGCCCAAAATTATGATTAATGTTGCTCAAATAAGAAATAAACAGGAAAAAAAAACAAAAAAAGCATAAAGAGAAATAAAAAACATAAATTGGATTTGATTTCTGTTTGTTTGCCGCGTTTCTTAAAGCTTTTGGCGTGTTTTCGCTTTTTCAACCCATAATTTGTACCCTGTATACCTTGAAAGAATAATAGAAAAGGGTATTCCACAGTTGTGCCTAAATAGATATAAAAATATTCGAGTCCCTTAAAACGTATCTCTAAAAAACGATCTAAACTGTGTTCAATATAGTTACATACAGCTGAGCAGGTGTAATTGGTTGCAGAATGTTAACTGGAAAAGACCTTTCCACAGTTTATTACAGGGTATTTAGCAATCATGCCAAAGCAAATTTCCGCTTTTAGCTTTAAATTAAAAATGGCTGGAAAAAAGCTTAAATCGAGACAAAGTGACATAAAACCTATTAAGTGAAGAAGATTTCGACTTCAAAGTTATTTACAGGGTATATAGCAATCGAGCAGTCGCAATTAGCAAACTCTGGCTTTTAGCTTTTTGTTTCTCTTTTTGCACTAGGCAGAGCTGTTCATTAGCACAGTAGACAGCGAGCGGGAGCGAGAGAGAGCGAGCGAGCGAGATGGGGACAGCATTAAATGCGGCTGCCGTGAGGCATGTGGCAGAGGCGGCCCCAAAAGGCCCAAAGGTGGCAATCAACACGAATTGAATGAACGAATGAATGAATGCGCGCCCGATCACTGAATGAAAACAACAACAGCAACAACAACAACAACAACGACGACGACAACGACAACAAAAAGCAAAACAATCTTGGATTCAGCCTCCGTTCCAGATCTCTGGGAGATGAATGAAGCGACTTGGTTTTCATCTTCATCTTCGGCCTTTTCTTACTTTTTTTACTGCCTGATAGCGGAAGTATAATTGCGGGTTTTGTGCCCAAAATAAAAGAAAACCCTAAAGTAAGACGGCTCTAGGCGGGCGTGCCCAGCTGGCAGATACCCTAACACTGTGCTTGGAGAGATCTTCAGCTTTCTGGAAAGCAACTTAAGAATGATTCACGAAAGTCTCTCTAGATTCAGTCTGTATCGAAATGTTTTGAATCATTTGATCTTTAGTATAATAAATTCCATCTGGCAGCAGCCAATATGCCCAGGTTGTGAGTGTACAGGGTATATAAATCCGATGTCTTAGACGACCTTTAAGTAGCGGCCCCAAATGAGCCGAAAAAACGGCGTTCGCTAAGCGTCGGCGGCGCCTTTGCACTGCTAGCTGCTTGGCACGCCCCCTTCCAGCTGCCTGCTCCCGCCCCATTCGCATCGCCGGTTAGGGCAATTACGGCGTGGAAAACGGAAGCGCATTACAAGCCCATATGCGATGCGTAATGCGATAGCATTTATTGTGAACTACTACGCTGACACGCCCACACGCCGAAGATGCGAAGAGCCATTAAGGAGGAGAAGCAGAAAAAAGTGTCGAAGAAGAAGTGGAAAAGGTACAGCCAACCTTGAGATCGCTGCGAACGGGGGTAGAGCAAAGGAGAGCAAACAAGAAAGCTGACTCGGTAGCACGTAGCGGACAGCGTTATCGCGCCGAGGATATCGGAGCCGATCGAGCTGGGGCGAGCAGTCAGCCGCCAGCAGGGGCGAGGAGTGGGAGTGCTTAAAATGGGGAACGCTATGGCTGCTTCTTATCAGCGACCATCGGCGGGCCGTGACGGCGACAACAGCAACAGCGACAGCAGCAACAACAACAACAATCAGAACAATCAGAGTAAAAAGAAGAACGATATATTATCAACCCGATAGCCGAAATGTAAATACTCTAATCCAGACAGATACGGGGAGAAAGATCTCGGACAAATGTGTGTAGAATGAAGTCGGCAGTCCCGAAGCTAAGTATTCATAATACAAGAGTCCACATGGCATCCATACGACTTGATATTAAGATATATGATATAGGATAATATGATATATGATAATATGACACAGCTTAATCTCCAGCATAACAGATATCGATGAGAGCTGTGAGTGTCCAATCCCAAGCACTTCCTTAAGGCATATTGCGATCTGTCCCTTAAGATCAATAGTTCCCTATATCAACTCTAATATATAAGACCTTGACCCGACTCGACTCGACTCAACTGCTTAAGCTGATTCAGAGAATATTCCTTCAACATTCGTGACAAGACTGTCGAACAACCCCCAGAAAAAGAGTATAATAAGAAGAGGAAGATATAAGGGCTGGGGTAGCGAAAGACAGAGAGCGGCAGAGGGCTCTGTATGGTAGATGAAACAAACAGGAAGTGAGCTATTTGCACTTCCAAACAAGTCATAATTTTCGGCAGACAGACAACGGGCATTACGTGGAATTTAGTCTGATAAAGTAGCTCAGCCGCGTTCCATTCAGTTAAGCCCAGACAGAGCGAGACAGGCTAATAAAAACACAGAGATAGAGAGAGATAGATAGAGTTTGCGGCCAAAGCGGTGCGAGGGCGAGCGGGACATTTAATAAGCGACAATTTAGCACAGAAGTTGACATTGACACAGGTAAAAGACAGACGGACAGGCAGGCAAACAGAGAGGCAATTGAACAGACGGACAGACAGTCGAGCCCGGGCTCGAGATCGTTATACAACTACTTAGGTAGCTGAAGACA